CAGCATGACTTTATTGACGGCTTGCTTGACATTGCGCTTCCCCAAGTGAACCATGTTAGGAACTGCTTAGGACGTTTACTGGACTTGTGTTTTGTTTCAAATTCAGAAGGCGTTTGCCTATCAAGACCGTCACCACTTACACAACCGGAAGATCCTTATCATCCAACTCAAGAGCTGACTGTAGACGCAAGAACAGAGCTGAATAAAAAATCCGAAAAGTCGGTTAAACGAATCCGCTGCTTTCGTAAGGCAAACTTTCATCTTTTAAATACTTTTATATCCGGCTATGACTGGTTCGAATTGTATTCATGCACTAACGTGGCTAAGGCCGTTAATATCTTTTATAATGCATTGAATTCTTTCTTTTATCTGTGTGTTCCGTTATACTATCCGTCAATTTCAAATAAACCTCCGTGGTTTAATAAAGAGTTGTCACACCTAAAAAATATTAAGTCCAGACTTTTCAATAAATTTAAAATGTGCGGTTCACAATCTGCCTTCTCTCGGTACCTAAGGGCTCGGTCAAGTTTTATCGTGCTTAACGCCCGGTGTTATAAAAGCTATTTGACTCGTTGTAGGGTCCAATTTTCACAAGATCCAAAACAGTTTTATAATTTTGTTAACACTAAGCGTAAATCAGCCTGTTACCCTGCATCGCTATCATTCGAAAACTCTACGGCAAACTCTGATCAGGCAATTGCCGATCTATTTGCCCAGTTTTTCCAGACAACATATTCTGTTTCATCCCGTCCAAATCCGTCTTATTCAAATGCCATACCCAAGTCGAACTTGATTTTTTGTCCGAGGTTAAGCGAAACCTCCCTTCTTTTGGATCTCCATAAAGTTAAGCCAGTCTATTCACCGGGTGAGCTGAGCAAGCGCTGCCGTCGGTGTCGCAATATCCGACGCGGCTCTGCCGGGACCAAAATATGGTGGTGCAACGGGATCTGCAGGCCGCAGCCTGCTCAACTGGTAGTTTTTAGAATACTTTAGATTTAGTTCAAGCCATACCGCCAAATGGAGCAGAACAACTTTTTTATTCAATAAAACCCAATTGTAACGTTTGAAAAGGTTTACTGTTTTTATTTTAACTTTAAACCTTGTACAAAAAATAATCTAAATACCGATCGAAATAGAAGGAAGGAAGACCGGAGCTGGAGATCAAAAAAGGATAAGGAATACGACAATTAGGTAAAGCCAAAATTTTTTATTTCTGGCAATTTTCCTTTGTATATTTAGTCTTCATTTCAAGTGTTTTATAAATGTTGTAAACGTCACTGACGTCCCTTCGACGCGTGGTTTACTTACTCAACCTCCAACCCACATAGACATTGCTCATCCGCCCCGTACCGTCTCTCTCTTTGCAGACCACAGAAATGAACTTAAGCAACTGCGACTTTATCGATCCGCAGGCTAGGCTGAAAACAGCCTTGACCACGAAAGACATTCAGCAGTTCCGGGAGGCACTGGATAGCGGTGCACAGGCTGCTTGGCAGGACGACAACCACATGTGCGTCTACGAGGAGGTATTATCCACACCAGGCTGCCAGGACTTCATAGAGGCCTGCATCGACTACGGCTGTCCGGTCAACTATGTGAGTAGTACTTCCAAGACCTGAGATCGGCACCAAGCTATCCACCTTTCCCCTTTGCAGATTAATCAAAAGCTAAACAAGGCCGCAGTCAACTATGCCGCCGATTTAAGGGATCCCAAAAACCTGGCCGCTCTCCTGAGAGACCGCGAGGGAGCAAAAGTCCGAGTAGATAGAAAGTACGCCCAGCTCACCCCACTCAACTCGCTGGCTAAGAATCTCACAGAAGATAATGCCTCAGATGTGCTCTCCTGCATAAAGCTGCTTTTAGACTACGGCGCCTCGCCGAATTTAATTGACCAAGCCGATTTCACGCCTCTGCACCACGTGTTGAGGAAAAGCGAGGTGAAGGCTCAGAAGCGGGAGCTGGTGCAGCTCTTCGTAAATCACCCTGAGCTGGACATCGATAGCCATTGCAATGGAGAAGTGCGCCGGCTACTGGAGGAGCAATTCCCGGAGCTGACATTGCCCAAAGAGCGCCTGAGCGGTACAGAAATCGACGGACAAACTCTTCGCCAGACTCTGCGGTACGGAGAAGAGGGCCTGTTTGAGAAGCAATTTGCCGAGTACCTACAGAGTCACGAGGGCAATGCGGACAACCAAGAGGAGTTCTTTAGCCTTCTGCAGGAGAGCGTTAAGCAGGGCAAGCATAATGCCTTCGAAGCCATCATTGCCTCTGGAATCGACATTAATTCAAAGCCCGCCAAAACCAAAGAGGCCAATATCGTCGAATTGGCCGTAATCCATGGCAACTGGCAAGCGTTGGAACGACTGCTGAAGGTGCCAAACCTGCGGCTTGACCCCAAATCCAGTTTACTGAATGCAGTAATCGGTCGCCTAGAGGAAACGCCATACGAAAGCTTCAACCATCAGCGCTGCTTTGACTTGCTCCTAAACAACGATTGCGTGGACGTTAACGAGGCTGATACAGGTCGTGAAGTGCCCCTTTCCTATGCTGTGAAATACCGTAATACGACGGCTATACAGAAACTCCTAAAGCACGGCGCCTACATTGGCTCTAGGAGCGTCTTCGGAACGCTGCCCATCAAGGACATGCCACCCGAGGTGCTGGAGGAGCACTTTGACTCCTGCATCACCACAAATGGAAAAAGGCCCGGTGAACTTAAATACGAGATCAACATCGACTTCAAGAATCTGATTCGTCAGGAGAGAGACATTGGAGTGGGTAAGCCTGCCGCCCCCTCCAATCAACTCCACGACGAAATGGCCCCCATTGCTTTCATAGCTGAGACGAAGGAGCTGCGCCACCTGCTGCATCATCCGGTGATCTCGAGCTTCCTCTTCCTCAAGTGGCACCGTCTTTCCGTGATCTTCTACGTTAACTTCCTGCTCTACTCACTATTTACCGCCTCAATCATCACCCACACACTTCTTAAATTTCACGAGAGTGATCACAGGGCTCTCACCGCCCTATTCTTAGTTTTTTCCATTGTAGGGATTGTCTATCTAATTATTAGGGAGGCCATCCAGTTCATGATGTCTCCAGTTCGGTATCTTTTGTCCATTACTAATATTATGGAGGTCGTTCTGATAATACTTTCTATATGTACCTGCATTGAATCCAATTTCGACAAAGAGACGAAGCGCGTCTTGGCCGTGTCCACCATCCTGCTAGTCTCCATTGAATTCTGCCTGTTGGTGGGCTCCCTACCAGTGCTGTCCATTTCAACGCACATGCTCATGCTTCGGGAGGTCTCGGGCAGCTTCTTGAAGTGCTTTGCCCTATACTCGATATTTGTATTGACCTTCAGCCTGTGCTTCCACATCCTCTTCAGTAAGCCAATAGAGGAAGGTGGGGCCTTCAACACGTTTACCATGCCTATCGAGGCCCTGATTAAGACCATTGTGATGCTGACAGGCGAGTTCGATGCAGGGGATATTAAGTTTACGAGTATCTACACCTACCTGATCTTCCTGCTTTTTGTGTTCTTCATGACGATTGTGCTGTTCAACCTGCTGAACGGTCTAGCCGTGAGCGATACCCAGGTGAGTTCACCCATCTTCCAATTCCGAATTCCTTGGCTCATTCCGTGTCTCGTTTGAATCAGGTTATCAAGGCGCAGGCGGAGTTGAACGGGGCCATCTGCCGGACCCAAGTGCTGAGTCGGTATGAACAGGTTCTGACTGCACACGGAGGAGCTGGGTTCTTGATGAAATTTAAGCTTTTCCGGACTATCTCCCAGCGATTGATGAACGTTTACCCCAACTACCTAAGCCTGCGTCAGATTATCGTGCTGCCGAACGATGGCAGCCAGGTTATTATACCCACTAATGATTCCTTCGAAAAGAGGAACGATAATTCCTGCGAGATGAGGACGTTGGAAGGCAACAGTCAGGCCGGTAAGCCCCAGAAGAAGTTTCTAGACCCGCCTCTGAAGCTCTTGACCTGCTGCTGCTCCGGATTCACTGGAAGGTGCTCCCAGATGGACGTTCGGACGGTCAAGAGGGCCCTGGCGGTGATCGACCAAAAGAACAGCGCGGTGCAGAGGCGAAAGAAGGAACAGATCAACGACAACCGAATGAAACTGATCGAGCGCCAGTTAGAGCAGTTGATACAGCTGGGCCAGGAGCGAAACTGATGGAGACTCGATCAGGTGCTTTAATTAGACTAATCCGCTGCTGAGATCGTATTTAACTTGCAGTTTTTATTAAGATATTTAAGACATTTCACTATTAGGCCCAATTGTCGCAGTTTTTATAATGACTTTCTCATTACAGTTTTTTGAAAAAACCCTTTTTTACAATAAAAATTTACAAGGCGTTTTTAATATGGACGTGACTCGTTTTTACAAAATCAGATGGGAGTGTTGGTCTTAGCATTATACATAATTGAGTTTATTAAGATCCGATGAAATAATGAAGATGAAATCAAAAACACAAATGTATGTTGACTGTACTTGGAAAGTGAGATTGGGACGGCCCCAATAAGTAACTTGTGGATGTTCCCTATATGCTCTTTAGCGGATCCACCAGCACAAGGTATACAATTAAAATTAAAAATGTTACACTTTCAAGTCCAGTTCTGTACCTAAAAATAAAGTCTAAAAGTAGGCAGTGCCTACTAGGCACTGGCCAGACGACCAAGCAAACACAGCGGCGGCAGCCCAGCGAACTCCTTTTTCAAAAGCTTAACATACCCAGTGTGTATCAGCTCCACTTCTATGGTCTTCCTTGGGTTAGTTGGTCAATGTCGCACCCCTTTGGCTCTCTCACATAATTATTTTTAAGCATGGCGGTAAGCCGCCGAAGTGTGCCCAAACTTGTCAGCTTATCGATAGGCATAAAGCTCTGCCCGTCACGATAACAGTTCCCACTGTTAGCTTTCTGTTAATTTTTAATTTCCCTCAGTTGCCCGCCACTTCACTTTTGATGATCAGGTTACAGAATGGGTTAGTCGTTGGCTGGATATTCACGAAGAAGGTATTGATCGCGTCAAAATTAAAGTGCGCTTTGTGTGAAAGGGTTGAAAGTATTTTAAAAACTGTTTTCGAAAAACCCCAACATTGATATGGAAATCAAATGAATCACCTCGTGGATTATGCAAATTCGGAAGATGCTGTTACAAATCTTTAGCTTGAAATGATGACTCGCGGCGAAATTAAAATGTTTAATAAATTACTGAGAATGAATCATGTGTAATGCAGATAAAGGAGGAATGATTAAAACCGCAGTTTAAAAATCTTCTCGACTTCGGCCCACTCATCAATAACAGCAGCAGTAAAAACAAGTTTTAAAACATTCAACTGTGATCCAAGGTTAAAAAACTGCAGAAAACGGCGCCCACGGCGCAATCGCAAAAATATAATAAAAACTGCTTTGTTTTAATGACGTCGAGAACAGCTAATAAATTGATTGCATTTCATTTGATAAATGATTAATTTGGAATTTATACCCGACCTGTGACATCATCGAAGTTTTAAAAAACAATTTCCAAATGCCTGGTGGGCAGATCACGATCTGGTGATCCCTGCCCTTAAAAGGCAACGCCTGCGGTGGCCAGTTTTACTGTGGAGTGCTCAAGTTGAGAAACTCTTTCAAAACGGGGAATGTTCTTGCTGACCAGGCGTGTTCAGAAATTATCGTGTAAGACCAGTAAATTGAGCCCAATGTTTACCCAGCTGAGAGTTGGGTTGGGGACAATTCTGATCAAGCACTGTCATTTGCATGGACTTAAGGCATCTAGTGTTTCCGTCCCCCTTCCAAAACCGCTAAATTTGCATTTTTATTGCCAATTACAATTAAGTAATCCATCGATTAGGCGATATGCGGCGTGTTAAGGCCCTCTCTGGATCCCACTCCCCGGCCTATTCACGAATGCACATTCGGCTGGATTCATACGCTCGCCGATTTGACTCCGCCCATCAAGTTTTTTAAATTATTTTTCTTGTTATTGTGGCGGGCACTGGCGTAGATCCAGAGGGGTCGAAAACTTATAGTGCCCAAACCTAACAAACAATTAGTATTGGACCGTTTTACCGGGTTATTCGCACATGTATTCTGTCCGAGTTTGTTAAATTAAATTATTTGAAATTACTGAATCGTGCGGAGCTCTGAAGGTCTACCTCTTCGCTCTGGACACCCCTCCCAAATCTATTGTTGTTTACATTATTCAGGCCAGTCAATTGTTTATGAAGTGCACAGTGAGTATATAAAGCACACATCGCTACACGAACTGGGGTATCCACTTTGTTTGGACTATTATCCATGTGTCTGTTCGTTTAAACATTTTTTTACTATATACAACTATATTCTGCTGCGGTTGTTTTTTTTTAGCGGATGCTTCACAAACTCACTTCACCATGAAGTCAGCCCCCGTCAACATATATATATATATATATACATATATATCCACATCTTGAGCCCATCTCTGCTCGCATCCATCTTAATTATGACTTTTTTACGATGACAATTTCGGGCTGAGCTTGGTTAAATTTGTGTACATACAAAAACTCCAGCAGTGGCCCCAATCACGCTCACAGTTTTTCTGCCACTCCTAAGCAATTTTAGAATTTTTTATTTCTGGCTATTTTCCTTTGTATATCAAGTCTTCAAGTCTCCCGGCGATCGTCTGTTTTTCAACAAACAAAGTCTTTAGTTTGCAAATAAACAGACTTTATGGACAAAAATTCCCGAACATCTTTATATGTTAAATAAATACGTCCTACGTCTTCAATAAATGAAGTGAGAAAGAACCAAAGAGAGTCGTCATGGACCCGGAGAATTTATCTGTAAATTTTTTATTTATAGATTTCTTGGTGTTGCGAATCTCCCTTCCGCCAGACTCATTTCCAGACTTTAACATTTATCAGAATGGGCTGAATTTGGATTAATTGTCAGGACGAAGTTTAAATACTCTTAAAATTTAAAGGGGAAACGGCAATTTAACAAATTTATGCCGATATCATTAATGCTGATTTCGATTAAGTTTAAATTAAGAAATGTTTTCTTTGATGATTAATTTTTAAGGCCCCTGAAATGGTATACAAATTATAGTATTGGGAACTTCGAATCATCTTAAACTGAAAGTAATTATATTTTCATATCTATGAGAGGCTACTAGAATTGTACAATATTAATTAAAATATAAAAACAATTTTTATAGGATTTTCTTTTTTTTTGTGGTCCCTCTTTACAACTAAGAGTTGTGCAAAACTTCAATTAAGTGCAAATGCTTGTTGGTCTTTTCGCTTTTCCTGTGCAAACCTGATCGACGGGTTTTCGTTGTACTGTATCTTAATGCATTCCAGAAGCAAAAAATACATATTTTCTTAAGCCGGTTGGTTTTCCTCAACATCCGAACATCTCAGTCTTTCCTCACTGGCAGCACTCAGGGTAAATTATCAATTTAATATTTGTGTAGTCCAGAAGAGCGAGGATATTGGATCCAACTAAAAAATAAGTTTTTGGATAAATCCAAGGCCAAAATGCAATTGTATCTGTATTGTGTATGAAAATAGGCTGCGTGCTTGCATGTAACACTGGGTAACCGGAAATAAATCGATGCTGGCAAGAATTTAGCATTTCGGTCTGTTCTCTCTGGAAATCGTTTCTGCTAATTTCTATTACGCCATTCTGTCAACTGTCAACTAAGACTTTGGGACTAAGCTGCGCAAACAATAACGTTGTTTGTTAATTGGTTTTACAAATAATATACTGTCCAAATACAAAGCCAAAGTATATACAGAGATACCAAACAGTGGGCCAATTAAGGAAGGTGATTGTGCGATTCTGTTTATCTTATCAGACCCAACTTGCCACCTGGGGGGGGTCATTTACAATACCCAATTTGTTTGCGTAGCCAAACAACTTTGGATGAAGAGCCACCTTCAACGGATAAGTTGATGTTTCCTGACTACCAATTCTTTAGCCATTGATAAATTATAAGTAGTCGCATATTCAAATTAGCCCGAGTGTGATTAGCCGATTTCTCACACATTTCAAGTATTAGCAGTCGGCGCAGAAAATAAGAGAGTAGAATCCCACGGAAGAAGCCACTTTGAAATTTACGAAAGAAGCCGCGTATAAATCTTGCGATTTCAGCACTCCCATCGACTGATCCTCCACCCCCGGGGTTTTACTAAAGCCCCATCCAGAAGAGTTATCAAAGCGTAAAGCGAAACAAATTGATTGCTAATTGATACTGATGTGTCGATTATTTTATGATTATTCTTTATGATCGTTAGATGTTGATACCCGGACAAAACCTGATCCAAATTTGAATCACTAAGACTTCCACCTCCTGGGCTGAAAAACTGACTCCGCAGGCGGCCGACCTTGTATTGTCTTCGCTCGTATTGTTATAATTTAATAACTACACGAGGAAGCAGATGAGGACCGAAATTGGTACCACAAAAACCACTTAAGACGCGTTTTCAAATTGTTCAAAACGGAGATTTGGCTGTCGAGAAACCTGTAGGGCAGCTTCTTGCCCACTTCATGTGAAAACCATCGTAGCATGAAGCGATGTCAAATACCGTTTTCTGTGGGAGACCATTCCCGTGTCATTGTTTAACCCTTCCAAGGTTTCGCGGGCTGCCCAAAATCTGGTCGAGTCTGAGCTCGGAAGAGCAATGCGGGTTCTTGCATAACTGCCAAGCGACCGTAACTGACGGCCATCCGACGCGTGGTTGTAATTACCCAAGAGCCAACCCGTGCCGTCTCTCTCTTTGCAGACCACAGAAATGGACTTAACCAACTGCGGCTTCATCGATTCGCAGGCTACGCTGAGTGCAGCTTTGGCCAAGAAAGACATCCGGCTGTTCGTCGAGGCACTGGACAGCGGTGCACAGGCCGCTCTGCAGGACGACCGCCACACATGCATCTACGAGAAGGCACTATCCACACCAGGCTGCCGGGATTTCATAGAGGCCTGCATCGACCACGGCTGTCAGGTCAACTATGTAAGTAGTACTTCCAAGACCTGAGATCGGCACCAAGCTAACCACCTTTTCCCTTCGTAGATTAATCAAAAGCTAAACAAGGCCGCAATCAACTATGCCGCCGACTCAAGGGATCCCGGAAACCTGGCCGCCCTCCTGAGATACCGCGCGGGAGCAAAAGTCCGAGTGAATAGAAAGTACGCCCAGCTCACCCCACTCAACTCGCTGGCTAAGAATCTCACAGAAGAAAACGCCTCAGATGTACTCTCCTGCATAAAGCTGCTTTTAGACTACGGGGCCTCTCCAAATATAATTGACCAAGCCGATTTCACGCCTCTGCACCACGTGTTGAGGAAAAGCAAGGTGAAGGCTCAGAAGCGGGAGTTGGTGCAGCTCTTCGTAAATCACCCTGAGCTAGACATCGATAGCCATCGCAATGGAGAAGTGCGCCGGCTACTGGAGGAGCAATTCCCGGAGCTGGCATTGCCCAAAGAGCGCCTGAGCGGTACAGAGATTGACGGACAAACTCTTCGACAGACTCTGCGGTACGGAGAAGACGGCCTGTTTGAGCAGCAATTTGCCGAGTACCTACAGAGCCACGAGGGCAATGCGGACAACCAAGATGAGTTCTTTAGCCTTCTGCAGGAGAGCATCAAGCTAGGCAAGCATAATGCCTTCGAAGCCATCATCGCCTCTGGAGTCGACATTAATTCAAAGCCCGACAAAACCAACGAGGCCACTATCGTCGAATTGGCCGTAATCTGTGGCAACTGGCAAGCGTTGGAACGACTGCTGAAGGAGCCAAACCTGCGGCTGAACTCCAAATCCAGGTTACTGAATGCAGTAATCGGTCGCCTAGAGGAAACGCCATACGAAAGCTTCAACCATCAGCGCTGCTTTGACTTGCTCCTAGAAAACGATTGCGTGGACGTTAACGAGGCTGATACTGGTCGTCAAGTGCCCCTTTCCTATGCGGTGAAATACCGTAATACGACGGCTATACAGAAACTCCTAAAGCACGGCGCCTACATTGGTTCTAGGAGCTCCTTCGGAACGCTGCCCATCAAGGACATGCCACCCGAGGTGCTGGAGGAGCACTTTGACTCCTGCATCACCACAAACGGAGAAAAGTCCGGAGAACGTAATTTCGAGATCAACATCGACTTCAAGAATCTGATTCGCCAGGAGAGAGACATTGGAGTGGGTAAGCCTGCCGCCCCCTCCAATCAACTCCACGACGAAATGGCCCCCATTGCTTTCATAGCTGAGACGAAGGAGCTGCGCCACCTGCTGCATCATCCGGTGATCTCGAGCTTCCTCTTCCTCAAGTGGCACCGTCTTTCCACGATCTTCTACATTAACTTCCTGCTCTACTCACTATTTACCGCCTCAATCATCACCCACACACTTCTTAAATTTCACGAGAGTGATCACAGGGCTCTCACCGCCCTATTCGGAATTTTTTCCTGGCTAGGAATTGGCTATCTAATTATTAGGGAGGCCATCCAGTTCATGATGTCTCCAGTTCGGTATCTTTTGTCCATTACTAATATTATGGAGGTCGTTCTGATAATACTTTCTATATGTACCTGCATTGAATCCAATTTCGACAAAGAGACGAAGCGCGTCTTGGCGGTGTCCACCATCCTGCTAGTCTCCATTGAATTCTGCCTGTTGGTGGGCTCCCTACCAGTGCTGTCCATTTCAACGCACATGCTCATGCTTCGGGAGGTCTCGAGCAGCTTCTTGAAGTGCTTTGCCCTCTACTCGATATTTGTATTGACCTTCAGCCTGTGCTTCTACATCCTCTTCGGTAAGCCGATGGAGGATAGCGCCACGCTGGACCAGGATTCTGGGAAGGAGGAAGAAGACGGTGGGGACTTCAACACGTTCACCAAGCCTATCGAGGCCCTGATCAAGACCATTGTGATGCTGACGGGCGAGTTCGATGCAGGGGACATTAAGTTTACGAGTATCTACACCTACCTGATCTTCCTGCTTTTTGTGTTCTTCATGACGATTGTGCTGTTCAACCTGCTGAACGGTCTAGCCGTGAGCGATACCCAGGTGAGTTCATCCATCTTCCAATTCCGGCTTCCTTGGTTCATTCCATGTCTCGTTTGAATCAGGTTATCAAGGCGCAGGCGGAGCTGAACGGGGCCATCTGCCGGACCAACGTGCTGAGTCGGTATGAACAGGTTCTGACTGCACACGGACGAGCCGGGTTCTTGATGGGAAATAATCTTTTGCGGACTATCTGCCAGCGATTGATGAACATTTACCCCAACTACCTAAGCCTGCGTCAGATTATCGTGCTGCCGAACGATGGCAGCCAGGTTATTATACCCACTAATGATCCCTTCGAGATGAGGACGTTGGAAGGCAAAAGTCAGGCCAGCTTTCAGAAACTGCCCATGAGTGCCGGTGAGCCCCAGAAGAAGTTTCTAGACCCGCCTCTGAAGCTCTTGCCCTGCTGCTGCTCCGTATTCACTGGAAGGTGCTCCCAAATGGACGGTCGGACGGTCAAGATGGCCCTGGCGGTGATCGACCAAAAGAACAGCGCGGTGCAGAGGCGAAAGAAGGAACAGATCAACGACAACCGAATGAAACTGATCGAGCACCAGTTGGAGCAGTTGATACAGCTAGTCCAGGAGCGAAACTGATGGAGACTCGATCAGGTGCTTTGCAATAGTATTAACTTCTTTAATAAGCCAAGATCTAACAATGTTTTTTATTAACATAGGTAAAATAAAATTTAACAAAAACCATCTTTGTGATGTCTTTTTGCAGCTACAAGTTGTGAAAAACTTTCGTTAAGCTAAAATGTTTGTTGGTCCATTTGGGATTTTTGTGCAAGCCTGTTGGGTTCTTTGCTGTCTCTTAATACATTCCAGACGCCGTAAAGAATTTGTCTTTTAGCTCTGCTCACTCTGTAAATAGTTTATGCAAATTTATTTTACAAAAAACATAGTGGCTAAATCCTTAGAAAATAGAGAGACCAAACAGTGGGTCAATTCAATCTTATCAGACCCAACTTGCCAACAATAATCAATTTGTTTGCGTAGCAAAGATGAAGAGCCACCTTCAACAGATGTTTGTTTTGTTGATGTTTCCGATTACCAATTCTTTACCCATTTATAAATTTTAAGTAGTCGCATATTCAAATTAGCCCGAGTGTGATTAGCCGATTTCTCACACATTTCAAGTATTACAAGTCGGCGCAGAAAATAAATAAATCTTGCGATTTCAGCACTCCCATCGACTCAGCCTCCACACCCGGGGTTTTACTGAAGCCCCATCCAGAAGAGTTATCAAAGCGTAAAGCGAAACAAATTGATTGCTAATTGAATCTGATGTGTCGATTAGATGTTGATACCCGGACAAAACCTGATCCAAATTTGAATTACTAAGACTTGCACCTCCCGTGCTGAAGTACTGACTCCGCAGGCCGCCGACCTTCTATTGTCTTCGCTCGTATTGTTATAATTTAATAACTACATGGAGAAACAAATTAGGACAGCAGTCGGTACCACAGAAACAACTTAAGACGCTTTCTTCAATTGCCCCAAAACGTAGAATTGGCTGTCGAAAAACCTGTACGGCGGCTTTCCGCTGCCCAGCTTGTTGCCGAAAAACCTGTACGGCGGCTTTCCGCTGCCCAGCTTGTTGCCCGCTTTATGTGAAAACCATCGTAGCATGAAGCGATGTCAAATACCGTTTTCTGTGGGAGACCATTTCCATGACATTGTTTTACCCTTCCATGGTTTCGCCGGCCGTCCGAAAATTTGGTTGGGTCTGAGCTTGGGAGAGCAATGCATAACGGACAAGGAAGAAGTGCGTCGAATACTACAGGTGCAGTTCCCGGAGCTGGCAGCGCCAAGAGAGCACCAGAGCGGTACAAAGATCGACGGACGAACTATTTAGCTCTATTTAGAACTCCGATTCAATCTTGACATGGAATTCTGCCTGTCCGTCCCCCTGCCAGTGCTGTCCAGTTAGACGCACATGCTCTTGTTGCGGGACGAGTTCGAGTACATTAAGTTTACGAGAACCTACCTGATCTTCCTGCTGTTTGCTTCTTCGACGATTGTGCTGTTTATCTATCTTCCAATTCCGGCTTTCTTGGGCTGGGTTCTTGGTGACACTACCTTAAAACATTTCAGATCGATTCGCAATTATCTTGCAGTTTAATGAACCGAGTTAGTTGGAAATTGTTTTTATTAACATACGAATAATGAAATTGAACAAAACCCTTAATAATTTTCAGTAAGTAAGTAGTATATAATGATTATATAGACAGTAAATATTGTATAAACGAATATCTTTACTGTACCATTTGTACCGGAGTAAATATTTAATTTCAAATATTAGATTTACGCTTTTTAGAGTTGTCATTAGTTATTCCCTTTACTTGGTTATCCTTTTGTTTTGATTTGATATGATTCGGTTCAAAATGTGTCTTAGTCACATCTTATGTTTAATGGTTAATTTTTATTTTCTGCATCTCCCTTGTCTATCATAAATCTTTTATTTAAGTCAGAGATGAACTGAGCGTAGCTGACCAAATCGAATTTCACGGATCTAAAGGGCTAACGAGGCAATCAACGGCAATGGAAATCCGAGTGGAAATTTATGCAAACTATGCGGTCATAATCTGTTAACAATTTTCAGCCTAATTATTGTTTTTAATGATTTCCGACAGCAACGGACCAAAATTCTGAGTTGATCCATTGGAGCGTGTATGAAGCGAACGAAGCGCAGGCAATGATTAAGCAAAGCTAGAATACGAATTGTTATTTAACTTTAGTTTAGTTCTCCACTTGACTACGCTTTAGCTGCTGCTGTTATTGTTACAGGACTAGGACTAGGACTAGGACCTTAAAAGCGGCAAATAAAAATAATTGACTTAGTTCTCAGAGCGTGTTGAACAATCCTACGACTTCTGATTCGTTTTTTTCTTAGCTCCTGGTTTAAATGTTATTATTCGTCTTCTATTACTGCTGGTAGCGTGGCCGATGAAACGTTAACTTCTATCGATCGTATATACTTTAATCTCAACAATAAATATGTATATATAAATAAAATCGTGTATTCTGTAAGGCATGCCTACTCAAACCAGCCGTATTGCTAACTATAGGTATATATTTGTGTACTTTATGTGTTCCAGCCTCCTACATCCAGCTGTCGCTTTATCTCGGGTGCTCATCCTAATGTCCTGCTTGCGGTGCCGTGAGCTTTAAATGCATAGAACTCGGTTCTGCCTCTTCTGTTTCCGATTGGTTCGATTAGCTATTGGCTTAACTTGACTGGGAGCATAGCTTCGTCTACTGCGATTACAACTACGATTCAATAATATCTAGAGCTACGTTTGTTGGTATTACCCCGGTTTCTGTGTGGGTGGCCTGCCTGTTGTCAATATTAGTTTTGGGTTCGTTAACGATGACGCCTCGAATTTGTGTCTATTTAATGGAATATGCCTCATTCATTTTATTGTCGTTATACTTTATGACTAAATTAAACATCGCACATCATGGCATTGCTCCGATTGGTCTCGTCTCGCTCTCTAATCGTAATATCTTTTTAATCGATTTTTGTTGATGATAACTTAAATTAAAACTCCTCTTTTTTTTGAGTTTTCATCTTTTTTTTTGTGGTTGGATGAGGTTCTATTGCTATTTCGTTATCATTATCATAATCGTTTTTCGTTTATGTACAATCGAATACGAGTACGTACCATTATTAAATATCACTTAATTGACGAGTGTTTGGTTTCTGTCTGTTGTTGGATTTGTTTCCTTTGTTAACAATTCTAATTAAAAATTATGATCTTAGTTGTTTTATTTTATGTGTAAAAATTGCAGTTAAAATCACAATTAAGTTGTTGTGTGTTCATTTGTTTGTTTGTTCCTGGAGAAAACGATTTAGTTGGTACCATAGAATTTCAATTTACTATCAATCGCTGTCTGATTGTCTGTTGTTAAGTTATGAAAGTAGAGTAAGAGTAGCGTAGACTCGACTTGAGTCGAATAAAGTGTGCACATGTAATTCAGTATTTGATATTTGTTATATTCTTCCGCTTGAAATACGTAATATTCACTTCTCAACTCATGTCCTGTTCGATGTTTAAACTTAATGCGATCACAATGGAGACTTAAGAGAGAGAACAACACTTAAAAAGTAAAAAAGTAACAAGGCGAGTTTCTTGGAAACTTGGCCCAACCTAGCCATTATTTAAATCGTAAAAAGAAGTCGAGTGTAAATTGTAAATCATTTTGCTAAAATAGAGTTCTTGTGGAAGCTTGTAGGTTGTTCTTTGTATAGGAGACTACAATTGTTGCATCTTGCTTTTGATTTAATTGTTTCGGCTACACTAAATCGAAAATAAACTAAACTAAGCGCGTCACAATATAAAAGTTATTCTCACTGGTACTTTGGTAGCTCTTCTGATTGATTTCGGGTTTTCTTGGATTGCTTTAATAACGATTTCGATAAAAGTGCAGTGTAGTGGCTAGATCCCGACTGGGATTAGATTTAATTTAAATATGTGAGAGTGTTGAGTACATCACTTGACATGATTTTTTGGCTTAGTTCTTACAGTTTGATGTAGAAAAGAAAAGAAGGAGGGAATCTGGGATGGGCCATAAGATATGTACAATACAATATAATAATAATCAAATCTACTAATACTTCGCTTTTGTACTTCGAACAATCGGTAATGGATAATATTCGCTTTCGTAATTGTATTGGTAATCGGCAATTTAATGAGCTATCTTAACGAAAAACCTTTATAAATATTTCAATAAATTGTCTCTAACTAATGTCTGTAACTATAATATTAGCTTTTTAGTTTAAAATACTTCCTTTGGCATATGTACAAAATGTATTTAGATACTATTCACATATACCGTCGTATATGCAGGTCGATAATTATGAAATCAAACACTACAGTTATGAGCCTAGATCTAACCGCGATAGTTAGTTACACATGTAATGTATGCATGTAATGCCAATCTCTATGTATTGTATAGTTCAAAAACAACCTTCGAAAATGTTCAAAAAAGTCGGCCCACGGCAGGGAGAATAGGATACATTGCGGTGCAAAATCTTACATTCATTCTTTCGTCTGTGGGTCAACCGATCTGATTACGACTAAATCGGGCAGTAAACTACCAACGAATCTCCTCTTACTCAATTCTGATTGTGACAATAACCATAATGTAGGTGATTCCGACACCGACTCATTCGGATTTTTGATTTGATTCGAGTACTACAACGGTTTAATGCACGTTCTTGTTAACATAGTTAGTATTGATTTCCTCCTTAGATTGATATTGTATGTATAAATTTGGATAGCTCCGTATCTGTATATGTGTATATATGTATATCGTATAAAGCGACTAGTATATAATTATATAGGTAATCGACTATGATAACAAAGAGGCGAGCCCCATGCCTAAGCCTATTCCTAAGCCTAAAAAACTACGAGTTCTGACACAAATGCACACAGGAATCGGCATTTAATACGCACTCAGACTGGAGGTTGTCAACTCGGACGACGCGCCGCGGGAGCTGCCGATGCCGTCGACGACGACGAGGAGGACGAGCTGCTCCTGGCGCTGCTGCAGCTGCTACTCTGGCTGCTACTACTGGAGCGCCGCCCTGAATCCCGCTGCGGTATTTTGACCGGAGGTCATCTCTCTCTGGCTGGTGGTGCCTCGTCCTGCGCTTCCTTCTGCTCCTCCTCTTCTAGGCGGTCACTAGTGGACTTGTCGGGGCTGTAGTCGTAGAACACCTGCGATGTGTCGCCTTGTACATTTACATCGATGGGCATATCTACATCCTCGATGGCTCCTGCAGCATGTGCGGCAAGCTCGGTGCTGAAGTCCCCACGCGGCGGGTCCTTGGGGCTGTCCACCATGATCTGCACCGTGGGCATTGTGCACGTGTCCATGGTGCTTTCCACCGAGCCGGTGCTAATCCGTATCTGAGGTGGCGCCTGCTTGTTTAGCCTCTCCAGGCCACTACAATTACCATTTCCGTTTCCAGGCGAGGATGGTCTGCTCTCATCCTCCTCCTTGTACTCTTCGCTCTCGCGATGCACCAGCACATGCACCAGGGTGGCGTTGTCCGGTCGCAAGCTGAGCGAGTGCGGGTGCATCTGTTGGTCCGGCGATGGCCTCGTGACGATCACCTCGGGGGCAGGTGCCTCGGCTAGAAGACGGCAAAAGAAGAGGACTTTAGTGGCCTGTTCGGCCGGATGATAATAAGTACAATTCACACATACAGACAAAAGCGTTCTTGTTTACTCTTAAAGCGCTTTGTGCTGACAAACCTCTTTCTAGGGGCGGTTTCTTGCGAATGAAACTAGAGGCGCGCTTACGTGAGGGAGTCGGCCCTCCCCCACCGCCTGGTGTCGGTCGCCTTCGGAGGCGGAGGTGGCTGAGGTGCCACAACCAGTGGCGCAGGCTGTGGCGGTGGAGGAGGCCGTGGCAGAGGCGGAGGTTGAGGTGGTGTTGGTCGTGTTGTTCATAGCAGCTGTTGTGGGTGAAAGGCACGCATTAGTGTCGGGCAATCGTGATGGCACAACGCACAAGTACGAAGGTTGTGTGGATAGACAGGTAGGTCAGATAGACAGATAGTTAGATAAAGAGATCGTAGCGAGTAACAGTAGATGAGTCAAGAACATAAGCTTATAACTAGGAAACGCAAGAGGTCGTTTCGATGGAATGCATCTCGATGGAGGCAAGGCCACAAACATGTGAGGTTGATACTGACTTAGATTCAGATAGTGGTGCAGAGGTGGTTTAAGTGCTGGCCCATCGGGCGGTGGCTATGTACAGAGAGTATTTACAAATTGCGCAAGAGTCGTGAATGGGATGCTGGGTAAGTGGGTCGAGTGGATAGTGGGTGGGTGAGTAGGCACTTGTCAATAATTACTTTTTCTATGTACTGAAGGTGAGGTTAAGCTGTCATCGACAGCATCCTGATGACGCAAAAAGAAATTATAAAAGCTTCGGCGACGACTTGCTCTAGGCGCTTCCACAAATATGCTACCGCTAATAATAGTAATAGTTTAGTAGTTGGAATAACAGTAACAATCATAAGCATAAATTTCATTTATCGGAATGTAAAATGTTCGGGTTTAGAAAGGTCAGTTCACATATAAAGGTCGAGGATTGTTTCGTTTTAACGATAGCTGCAATTTTTTGACGAAATAACAAAGGAAAGAAAGTAAAGCTTTCGACACTAAAGAAGCTGTACATCATTATGAATGGCGATGAAAATAGATTTCGTATGAGAATTATTCTTAAAGTTCCAATTACCTGGTGACATGATGGGTAAATGAGAGTACTTATTGATAGCCAAACTATGCTAACGATCTAGATAAGGGCAAGCAACCAATGAAAATTAACTCTGCGCATTCACGTGTCTATCGCAAATTAATTTCGGCGAGTCGGGTGAGGTCGGAGTGGGTGGATCTACGGATTGGTTTGAAAGGATCCCGATTATGCCGCTACTTACAAATAATCTTATTTTAGGCATTTACTCGAATGTTTTAAAACTGCAATTAACTGTGGTTCTTGTTCTGATAGTTGTTGAATAATAGTTGAATATAAAGTTGCATCTGACGGCAAATGAGTTTTTGCAGACTTTGCTTGCGTTCGCTTAGATGAGCTGAGTTGGGTGGAGAGACGAGTTTGGATGGAAATACTAGATAGGATACGTATAAGTAGTCGACTGGTACGAGTACTGGATAGTTGGTTCAATAGATATATATACTTAATCTAGCTGAATATACAACGAGTATGGATGAAAAATAAAAACGAAGTTTGTAAGATTGCTTGTTGCACTTGTTTTGATACTGATATTGATATTGGTTTCTGATTGTTGTCTGTTGTAAGATTTAAGTTTGTACGTAAATAGTGGTTTTTAGTTTGCTAGCTAAGCTAAGCAGCGTATGGATGGGAGATTGCCTTTACCTAGGTAATTCAAGCCACTAGGCTGCGAGCCACTTCTGAGAACGGCAGTGACCATGTCTGCGAGCAGGGACTCATAGTTTAGGGAGATACAAGAGGATTTGCTAGAAATAGGGCTTAAGTTCATATACACTGTGGACACACAAAACGTTAATTTATCGATGCAGATCGACGGTTATGTTTTTGTTGCATGTTATGGTGGCATGAGCATGGAAAGCCTTTTGTTTTCGTCTAAAAATTGCATTTCAAATTCATCGCAGCCATGAAACACAAACATACATGGAATGGCTACGTGTCAGAGTGTATATTTGTTGTGTATATGTCTTGTGTTGGTGTGGGTGGGTGGTGCGGGTGGAGCCAGGATAAATACCGTTTGCCTAGCTCGTCGCTCTGCTGCTTGATGTCCTTGACCACGTCGTCGGCCCCCGAGACGAGCATCAGGGGCAGGTTCAACCAGGGCCCGGCCAATTCGCTGAGATCTGAGGCGTCAGAGGCACGCGAGGATTTCCGTGACGAGGCACGACTGGAGCAGGCGGTGCCACGGCGACTCACCTGCGAAGTGTTGGAAGAGACCAGATTAGGCAGGTGTAAACTAGATCTCTGCACTTACCTGTAGGTGGAAGAAGTTTAACGCTGAGAGCTTCGATTGCCATCCGCCTGGACTGGAAGTCTGGGTGGCACTGTCCCCGGAGTTGGAGCGCTCCTTCTCCCGCTTGCGCCTGTGAAGAGACATCACACGATTAGAAAATCGCGAGAGACAAGTATGGGGCTTGATTGAGAAAGCAAGGGTGAGGCAATTGGCTTTTGTGGTAATTGTAGTACCGCAAATATTCCTTCCAGCCAGTCTGAATGGTCTTGGCCGCCTTTTCCTGGCGCTTCCAGATCCGCGTCGACGAAACAATTTCCAATTCTTTGCGCGTTGGAAACTGTTTCTTGAACTTGACATCCATTTGTTCCTGCAACTGCTTGAAGTTATCGGTCTCCTCGACATGACCTAGCACGTGCTTCACGAGCGCGTGCAAAATGTCGAGGCAGTGTATTTTATTGCCCTTAGAAATGGGCAGATTAAATGACACTAAAGCGACATTATTGGGCTTCGAGATGCCCAATGGTGGATCGAGAGAGGCAATAAAATCGGACAGTTGCGAGAAGTGTATAAATTGGGTGGCATGTGGATCGTATCTGCAAGTAAATCAGTTCGAATAGTCAGTAGCTTTTGGTTAAGATCCTATGGCTAAGCCCATTCCCAGGTAGAGTGCACCTACTTGGACCAGCGAATGTAAAACATTTCCAGATCGTCCTCGACAATGCCGATCTCCTCCTCCTGGTGCGCCTGATTAAAGTTCTCCAGGATGATGGCAATGTACATATTGATCACAATCATGTAGCTAATGATAATGAAGCTCGTAAAGTAGGTAATGGCCAGCAGCGGATGGCCGCAGTTGCCGTTCGTTTGTCCGTGGATGAAGGGGTCACAGTCTGGAGGCTGGATCATCAGCGACTCGAGCACGTCGTTCCACCCAGCCGAGGTCATCAGCCGGAACAGCAGCTGCATGCTTCGCCCGAAGGTCTGGAAATTTACCATATCGTCGAGGGCGCCCTGGAGCTTTACGTTTCCGAACAGCGACATGCCCAGGATCGCATAAATGAACGTAATCAGTCCCAACAGGGCCCCAATGTTGAAGAGGGCGGGCAGCGACACCACTAGGGCAAACAACAGCTTACGGATGCCCTTGGCGGCCTTAATCAGGCGCAGGATGCGCCCGATTCGGAAGACTCGTACCACGCGCAGCAGCGTCGGACTGATGGGCAGGTCGATCATGATGTCTTCCATGAGAATGCCGAAGATGGAGGCCAGCACCAGCAGAAAGTCGAACACGTTCCACGGCACCGTGAAGTAGTGATAGCGCAGGCCCACGATCTTCACAATGGCTTCTGCGGGAGAAGCAAAATGTCAATCAATAAAAAATTAACGAAGATATGGTCAAAGCACTTACCCAGCCCGAAGACCGTGGTGAAGAAGGCGTTGCTCACTTCCAGGATAAAGAAGACCGCATGCGGTTGATCGTAGTGTTCGATGCCCATGGTAAGCATGTTGAGAAAAATCAGTACAAAGATCGCGATCTCGAACCTGCATATTGCGAAAGTTGGTTTTAATTAAATCATGAATGTCACTGACAAACTTCGGACTGGCCGAAGTTGAGGTGCTCCTCAGAAATGAAGAAAGAAGGGGATTATGTACAGGCATTGCGAGGAACACCATTATATAGAGTTGTAGAAAGTAAACTAGATCTAAAACTATCTATATACATGCTGGTTGTAGACACAAGGGGTGAAGTCTCAAAAGGGCGGCTGGAGAAGCCATAGGCAGCTAATCATCCCATAGATAGAACATGCCCAGAGTGCGGTAGGTCAGATATTTTAAATGGTATCTAATTCATATCAGTCGTCAAGTTTTATATTAAAAGGTGCTCTACAGAACTTTAAAAGGTATGCATTTGGATATAGGATACAGAGTACAGAATACAGAAGATAGAGGCATTTTTGACGGTGTTTGCTTGGGACAAGCACCGGATCTGATCAAAAATGCCGGGAATTACAAGTGTTCAAATGAATTTTATCACCAAATCAGAAACATTCTATAGATGTGTTGTGGGCCTAACCGAGAAAACTACGCGTTAGCATACGAGTTAGTACAAGAGTTAAAGTTAGATTCAGAGGAGACAGAGTAGGACTATTAGTAAGTACAAACTATAAGTAGATATACGTAATTTGCTGGTCTTAGAATGAGATTGGTTGGTTCAGGGGTCGATTGACGTTTTTGTTTACCTTCTCGAATTGGATAAATCATAAAACATAGCTAAAAAATGATTTATAGGTCGCTTAATAACTTTCTGTGGTTTCTTTCGTCCCAATTTTTTCATAGCCGTGTAATAGTGTTTTTGAGATTCGGTGAGAAACATTTCCAACACTCCTCCTTCATACTATAAAAGTGATGAGAATAGAATGAACATTTAATTATATATATACAATCCACAGTTATGTAACGCACTAAGCGATATGCTAAATATATTCTATGAACACAACTGGTCACAACACAGCAACACAATAACAGGATTAAAGGTACACATAATGACGGCGTTTGCAGCGAAAGACGGCAAAAAAAATAATAGATGGTTTGATGGAGGTGGTTAGCATATGCACAGGTGATTCACGTGTGGATGCAGAGAAGCTGGCCTGGGCAGGAGCATAGGCCAATGGACTTACCTTCTTTTTGAGCATGTTGAAGTTATCGATAATAACTCCAATGAACAGATTGAGTGTGAAAAACGATCCGCACACAATAAATATAACAAAATAAATATAAGCATATAGATTGGCTTCTCGCTGCGGTTGCAGGTCTACTCCGCGGGCGTCCACTGCGTCGGCCATCACCTCCATCCAGCCCTCAAAGGTGGCCACTTGCAGCAGGGCCAGATAGCCCATGCCTACGTGGTCGAAGGTTATTTTAGAGTTTATCCACGTATAGTTCTGCTCGATGCAGTCCCATTTGTCGTTGACCTCCTGGAATTCGCATAGATTAGTATAATCCCAGAGATGGGAGATGGAGCTGCATCTGAACTTCTGCCGAAAAGTACTCACAGTTATCGGCAGTAACTCGCCCATCTCATTGACGCACTTGAAAAATTTACCACCAAAGAACTGAACACCCATTATTGAGAAGATCAACCAAAAAACTAAACAAACCAAAAGTACATTGAAAATTGATGGTATTGCATACATGAGAGCGTTTACTACAATCCGCATTCCTTGCCACCTGGAATAGAAATGGACGATGAGATGCTAATCATTACGGGATGGACGCAGGTCGTCTCAACTGTGCCGTGGCAGTGCTAAGTGGTCGTGGTCAGATGGATACGTATACAGATGAATGGATGGGTAGCATATTGGATCTCGTCTGCATATTAAATTATTTAGCTAGCTAAGGATATATCTATACATATGTACATATCTACAATATACAGAGATTACAGAGGCAGAGGAGGTTTCAGCTAAAGACTACACAGATTCGAGGACGAGGACGGAGGCGAGGACGATGCAATGCTTGTTCTACGAGTACGTATTTCTATTCGAAATTCATAAAGAAAACGAGATTGTATTAAACACTGCACATAGTTCTTGGATCGCATCGCACGGTCTGACCACTCCTCCCCGGAAAAAAGATCAGTAGTGATAAAGAAAGAGCGAGAAGTAGAGGCGAAAGTTCCTACGCAGAAAGCTTTCTTCACCAGATGCACGGATGTCTAAGTAGGTTGTGGTGCAGCCTATCGAGAGAACCAGCGACTGTCAACTTACCGAGAGATAGCTCTCAGCGGGCGCAGAGCTCGCAAGGTGCGCAGCGAGCGCAGTACCTTCAGGTTCTCGTTCTCCTCAATGAGCAGCGAGAAAACCGACACCTGGAGGAAAATAAATCTGTTATATGGACTCCTCGCAAAATCTTGTCAAAACAACCACTTACAAACACTATAATGAAGTCGAGTATGGTCCAGAAGCTGGTAAAGTACTTTGAGAAACCCAATGCGAGCCACTTGAGGATCATCTCCACGACGAATATCAGGCAGAAGGAAAAATTTATCCAGTAGAGCACGCGCTTCAGCGTCTTATTCTTGTCCAAGTTAATGTCCTCGAAGCAGAGCGTGATACTCGACGCAAAGATCAGCACCAGCACAAACCACTCAAAGGCCGGAGTATCGACAACCGCCAAGACAGCCGTCCTCACGCGCGTCCAGTGCTTCGCGCTTTGCGTGTCCATACAGCTCATAAACCAGGGGCAGCGGAAGAAGAAGCTAAAATGGATTCGGTATTAGATGGTTCTGTTGTTGATCCCCGGTCTTACTTACTGATCGTAGCACTTCTGGGGAAAACAGTCGTCGGGCACCTTGGGCGCCTTCGTGGCCCCGTAGCTCGGAAAAGTCATGGGATCATTGTAAGCTCCCTGCGAGTTACGTCTCCCACCGACAGTGAGATCGTCTACGTAGGAAACCAAACAATGCCATGGTTTTTCGGTCAGTCGCGTGAATGCCGACGGCTTCTGTGTGGCCTCTGGCGCCGCAGACTGCGACTGCTCAGCCTTTTGGGCCATGGCTGAGCTCGTTTCGACCGCTCCCGAGCTGTGCGACTCGGTGCGCGCGGACTGGAAGGATGCGGCTTTGTCTAGCGTCGATTGCGGATGCTCCGGGCGTCGCCCCGGCCCAGCCATCGGAAGAGCATTTGCCTGCGAGTGGGCATGGGCATGGGCATGGATGTGACCGGTACCGTGAGTGGGTGCTGCTTGGATGCTCGTGGCATGAAAGTGCTGCTGGTGCTCGGTAAGAGCAGCTAGCGGCGGAGTGGTCTTTAGCGATGAAATTTGCGCCAGTGTCGGTGGCTCTATGCTCGATTTCAAAGAGGTGGGCGGCGTGGCGCGAACGGCAGAGGGTGTACGTGCCAGCTTCTGCTTTTGAATGAGCAGATTTTCGTACGAGTTGGTGCTCTTTAGCGAGAGGCTGTCCAGGCGCAGTTGGTCGTGTCCGCGGAGAAACTTGCGCGGCATCTTCTCCGACTCGATGCGCAGTGTCGAGATGGGCTTCTCCTCCTCTGGCAGCTCCTCCACGCGCTCAATAAGGGAGAGCCGCTTGAAGCGATCAAACTGCACCGTGAACGGATCGATCTTGCGTCGAAGAAAGGGTGATTGACTGGGTTGCGTCACCTGGCTGGCGCTGGTGGCTGCCACCGCCATGGCTTCCATAGCCACGAAGGGGGCGTGAATTTGATCACAGATTTTGCGTATTTCGTTGGAAATACTGAAGTCCTCGTCTATCTTACGCTGCTTTTCCAGGCTTCGACGCTTCAGTTTCACAGACTGGCGCTGAGCGGCTGCGCTGACGGATTGCGAACGCCGTGGAACGCTTGACAAGTCGTAACTGTCATAGGGATTTAATGGGTGCACCACCTCGTCGGCGGCCGAGCGTTCCGAGGCGCCCGTGATGATGGCAATGTGCTCCATTATAGCCTTTGTTGCTTCATCGGCTGCCGGCGAGGGCTCTGAAAGATTGGAAAGCTTGCGTTCCAATGACGTGGTAGAGCGCTTGATCTCCTCCAGCTCCTTCTCGAAGCTCTGGATAATGTTGTCAAACTCGGAGTGCTCTATCAGTGCCTCGCTCTCTGGCTGTCCCAACTGAATCGAGGGACGTCGAGATCTTATGGCGCTCGAGATGCAGCTCAGGTTTGGACCCTTTTGCATCTCGTCGTCCTCCTGCAGAAACAGAAAGAGATCCTTTTGGTCGCAGTTGAGCAGTTCCTCGCGCAGATTCCCCTGCTGCGAAAGCAGTTCGTCCTGCTCGATCGATATAGAGTTCAATGACTGGCCACTCGAATGCCGCCGCAACTCAATCTCCTCCGACTTGAGCAGTGATCGCTGAGATTGGCCGCTGGATTGGGAAAGGCGGTCCAGCGACTTTCGGTAACTTGGCGATCGCGTCAGAAGAGACTTCTGGTACTTGAGATAGGCCTCGTCGTGTTCTTCGCTTCCGTAGCGCCGAGAGGAGTTGTCCTGCAGAGAGTCCGCGCGGTTAAATGAGCCACAGCCGCTTCGCTGATCGTTGGCGTACGGATCCGTGTCCGTTGAGTTATATTGGCCCAGCATGCGCAGCTCAATAGACTCTGTGTAGGTTGCCTCTTCTCGGGAATCGTTCAGCTGTGTGCTAACTCCCGAGGAGATTTGGTGCTGCAGCCGGCGCTCCGAATTGGCGAAAGGCGTCAGATTTTGACCGTTTCCGTTGCTATTTCCATTCCCGTTTACGGCTGGAAAGGCGGCGGAGGCAGCCATCATTGCACTCTCGTATGTGGGAGGCAGCAAGTCTGACGTGGGTGGCAGTGGATGTGACTGCAGCTGGATCTGCTCTGGCAATTCTCCTGTGTCATCATACTCGAGACCATCAACTATCGTATGCAAGCCGTCGTGCAGCGGGATTTGGAAGCCAAAGTCGGAGCCGGAGACTGGCCGATTCATAGACTCCTGTAAGGGGATAGATTAATTTAACTGCAATGGAAGTATACAAGGCCCGACTCACCTGGTAGCTTAGTCTGTGCATCTTGGTTTCCGCCAGCACACCCGTTTTGTCGCCGCTCTCCAGACCCACTGTAGTCTGCTGGGAGTGAGCCTGAGCATGCGCCTGCTGGGCATCAAGTACAATTTGTTGAAACTTATCCGCAAACTTGCGCTCCTTGCGATCCTTGCGCTCCTGCCGCTTCTTGCGAATCAGGTCGCGCACGCGCTCAATGCTCCTCGCTAACTTGGACTCCTCGCCCACTTCCTATTTGGGACAGAGATTACACAGCATTAAAACACAGAAAATTCCTGGGGGGAAACTCAACTGAAGAGTTTGCTACAAGATTCTTTTTGAATAGACATCGATATAAATATTATACGATTAGGGATCCAATGCATACAGAACTGAACACGGTTTACGCTAAGAGCAGGCAACACAAAAGATTACAACGTACATATATAGCCTGATCAACGTTTGACTAAACTATAAGTATTTACACATACAGTATGTCTGGATTTAGATATGGATTGGTTAACGCAAACGAGGCAAGCAAGTTTAAAGCAAGATAAAACGGTTTAGTTGGAAAAATTACCTTCTTCTTGAAAATCTGTTTAACGTTTTAAGTGTATTTAAATTGCGTTAGTTTTAGTTGGTTTGTGTTCGTGTTTAGTGTGGGATGTGTTTTGTGTGGTAAGTCAAGGTTTAAAACGCATTGTGCAAAGTTGACGACAGAAATTATGTTAATTGGATTACGCTTAAGTGCATTTTAAAATTGGTTTTTACATAGACTTAAACGAGACTTGATAAGGTCTGTTCTGAGTCCAAGTTCGATGCAGTTTGAATCTGTGTAAATGTCCTCAGAACAAGCCCTATAGAAACAGATTTCGGACAGATCCGAAATGACGAACACAGCAAAGGCGAAGAAAAACGTTCTCTTAATCCCTTTGCACTGTGTTTTATTAAAGGTTACAGTTTAAAGTTAAATAGTAGGAAAACATTTAGCACAGTTAGTAACAAAATGCAGAGAATGATTAAATTTATTTGGGATTTTAGAAAACATGAAAATTATAATCGATTTTGCTCGTGAAAACAGAAAAGTGCCGCAAATCTTATGGTGTATAATTCAACTGGTAGTTCAATTTCAGGGTGCCATCGCGCGATCATGATGAAGCTAAGATCTCACTCTCCGAGACACACATATACCGAAAACCACATCAAAGTGCAAGACAAATTCAAATCAAACATTTAGTAGTCAATCTAACCATCGATCTTCTTAATCAGTTTAGTGGATTGTTTTATGACACGGAGAGAGGTATGTCTCCCCTGTCGATTTTCGAGCTTTTCGAGTTTAGTTGTTCGGTTTTTAAGTAACTTTTCTGACACACACATAGACATATAGACATATACATTCACAAACGTTAAGAAACTGGAATCGGAATACGATCAACGGGAACAGTTGACTTGCCTCTTTTTTCGACTTAAGCTCCTCGGAGTTAAAACTGTTGAGTAACAAGGCCAAGAACAAGTTGAGCACCATAAAATTTCCCATGACGAGTGTCGGCAGAAATATGGCAAAACAGGTGGAAGCTCCTTGCTGCGAAATTTATAAAATTTTAGTACACTTCAGTAGTCATCGGGTCGTGTAGTTATACCTCCTCCTCGGCACGCATGCAGTCCCAGAGAGGCTCGATCCATTCGCCGCACAGAATGCGAAATATCATCATGAACGAGTGAAAGAAGTCATTGAAATTCCATCTGCCCAAAAGTAGACACAAAATTAGCTTTAAAGTTTAAATATAATTCTATCAGGCCTCGCCTTGGTACTGGATCCGGGTCGAACTTCTCGGGCGTATAATCTTTGGAGAATAATTGCATGCCGATGACGGCGAATATGTAAATGACTATAACCAAAATCAGCGTGAGGTTGCCGAGGGCACCGATCGTTGAGATTATAATGCTTAGGAGCACCTTCATTGTAGTCCACGATTGAGCTAGTTTCAATACCCTCAGCTGTAATATAAAACAAATTAAATGAGGGACTTTCAAATGGAGACTTTTACCAATCGCAAGCCGCGCAAGACACTAAGGCCGTCGACCAGCTCGAAGATGATGTCCAGCAAACTCGCAGTGACTATCAGCAGATCAAAGATATTCCAGCCACACAGGAAAAAGTCCTTGGACAGCGCCATTAGCTTAACAATGCACTCGAACGTAAAAATGGACGTAAAGACCTGTGAAGAAACAGGAAATTTAGGCTCATTCTGCATGATGCGGAGGTTAAACTCACCTTGTTTCCCACATCCAGGGCGTTGCGAAAGCTTTCGCTCATCCCGTGGTGTTCCATGGCCAGGAAGGCGGTGTTTAACACGATGCAAAGAGTGATGGCCAGTTCAAAGAGCGGATCTCGCACCACTTTATATAGGCAGTTTTGGAACTGTAGCCAGCTCTCGTAGTCGGTGCACCAGTGAACACAGCGATCACAGTTCCGGTCGGGCAAATCATCTGGTAGTGACCATACAGATACATTACATCCTTTCCAACAAGAAGCTTTTTTAACTTACCGATCACAACCACCTCCGAGGAGAATTCTTGGTGCAAAGTGTACACATTGTGGTTCTTGATGCGGGCTATGTTCCCGTTGCACTTGATGAGGCGCACTTCACGGGGAGAAAGAGCGAGCTCCACGGTAGATACGTGGCCCAGCTCGTTGGCCGTATCCTGCTCCTCATGATCGTCCACCACCCCGGAGTCGTCCTGCGAGGACTCGCGATTAACGCCACTAGAGTTAGAGCTCGCCTGCCGGCTGCTAGCGATGAGCTGGCCCTTATAGTCCGAGGGGTAAAGCATGTTGGGATTCTTCACACCCACGCCGCTGTCCTGAAAGCTGATGCGTCCCTTTGGAGTGGGAGCGGAGGCAGTGTTGGCGTCGCCACCTGTTGCTTTGGCCAGCTGGTGCTGCTGCTCCATCTGCTGGTACTGTTTCTGGGCCTGCAGGGTGAGTGCCGAGGGACGTTCCGTGGCGCTGTGCCGAGGACTTGGGCCCGGACTCGGAGTAGCAGAGTGGGACTTGGGGTCGTTGCCATTGCTGCCGTTTCCATTACCATTGGTTCCACCTTCCTTGCCGCCCTTGCCCTTTTTTCGCCGCGTCTTCTTCTTGCTATACGAGGCCAGGAGCACGCCTTTCCGGGAGTCGATTTTCTTCTTGTTGTTCTTGTTGAGTTTCTTCACGTTTAGCACCGACGGATCGAAACTAAACGTGGAGTCGTCTCGATGGTCCAGCAGGTCCTTCTTCCGTTCCTGTAATAACACCAAAAATGGGTCGTGCATTATGTAAGGATGAGATGGACTTACCTCGTTCGTTATCTCGGCCTCCTCCTCGTAACTTAAGGCCACCACGGCCAGCATTAGGTTGATCAAATAGAACGAGCCAAAAAAGACCACCACCGTGAAAAATGAGACGCTCATGGGCCCACAGGTCGCCAGCACCTAAAAGAAGCTCTGTATTAAACCCTTTTCAAATACAGAACTCTTTAAATACGCACCATATTGTACACGTTCTCCCAGTAATCCAATGTGATTAGCTGGAACGTCGTCAACATGGACCACATAAAGTTGTCAAAGTTGGTGTAGCCATGATTGGGATTCTCGCCCACACATAGGCACACGTACTCAAAAGGGCAGTGGCGGGCTCCGGTCAAGTTGCCGCACAGCACGGGCAGTTCATCCTCGTCGTAAAGCCAGTTGTCGGTGTCGTTGACCCAGCTGAAACGAAATGTATCCGCAATTAAATCACGTTACTGACTACCACTTGTCTTACTCCTTCTTACATATGCCAATCCGCGTGAGACACGTTTGTCCAGTCGGTGGGCACCTGGCGCACGCACTTGTTGCGCAGCTCGCCCATGTAGACCTGCAGGGCGAAGAGCGCGAACACCATCAGGCAGAAAATGGTCAGGGTCATGACCTCCGCCAACTGACGGAAGGAGTGTAGCAGCGCGTTGATGATCGTCTTCAATCCAGGCATTATGGACACCGTCTTGAGGGCGCGCAGCACGCGAAAGGTGCGAAGTCCCGCCAGGTTGCCCACCTCCATGCCGATGGTGGCGTAGCCGCTGGTAATGACCACAAAGTCCAGCCAGTTCCACGGGTTGCGCAGGTACGTGTACTTGTTGAGCAGAAAGCCCTTGGCGATGATCTTGATGACCATCTCGATGGAGTAGATGGCCAGGAAGATGTACTCCGCCTCCTCCACCGTTTCCGTCATGGCCAGGAAGATGCAGTTGAACAGGATGGTGGCCATGACACAGTAGTCGAAGAACTGGTTCGTGGCGATGTAGACGCACACGCGCCGCGCCGGGCTCCATGGGTAGAAGAGGAACAGGCTCTTTGTGCCCGTAAAGCGGTGGATGTAGTTCTTACGGAACCGCTTGGACACCACGCAGAAGGTCTGCAATTCAAAAAGAGCGGGCGGTGTACAGGGTGCTGTTCGGTGTACAGTGTCTACCTTTCAGTCAGCAGTGCGGGCGGGCGGTCCAAGTCAGGACCCCAGTTAATTAAAGCACATTACGACACTTTGGCAGTAATTTAATGTTAAATTTAATTAATAAACAGGAGCTAAGGCGAACGGCAAATGGCAGCACAGGACTATAATGAAATGGCAACGATGGCCGTCCATAGGTGGCAGCACAACTATCGATAGGTCGGCTATCGGCCAGAAGCAACCCTGCAACGGGCTGTCAAATCGACACGCGAGGCTAGCAGGCCGACTTCCGTTTGATATTCGTTCTTTCGTTCTCAAACCGTCGTCCAGACCAGAAGGAAAATGAGAGCTAAGGTAAAATAAGTTCATACAAGTGCACAAGTGATATTCTCTCAGAAATATAGTGAATAGTAAATGCATGCGCATTCGTGAACCGCAATTAACCGTGTTTTCTCTCGTTTGCAGTGGCGTAAGAAGCGTATGCGTAGGTTGAAGCGTAAGCGCAGAAAGATGCGTGCAAGGTCCAAGTAAGCGCAGCGCCTTTGCCCACTAAATGGTGAGTTCTATATCCACTGCCCCCGGGAGCACCCATCCGTCGCACGCGAGGTTCTAATTCGGGTTTATTTCTGTCGTATTACAGGAACCTTTGATTGATGCCGACAAACCCAAACGAAACACGCCGCCTGGGCTGCCCTCTAATGAGGGTCCCACATGTAATTTTGCAAAACCAGTTTTCACACAAACGTACATGTGCATTTAAAATTCACGTTTCCATTTCTCGTAAAAATTGATTCTAATAAATTACTGGATTTTCGCCAAGGTTCCACGAGAAAAAGCATGTGTTATTAATGAGAGTGAGAGAGAACGGAGAAAGAAGAGAAAACGAGGCGGGCGTGCTCTTTCGACATAACCACATTCGCGAATCATGTGTCTATATGTGCGTGAGAGCACGTTTTGCCAAAAGCGTTTTCGCCTTTTAAATGTCTAGATTTTAGCCCTCCTCCCCGGTCCCATGGACACATGGATGCTTATCGGCCAGCCGCAGATTGGATCTGTGGATGTGCGATTGGAGATGGGCCGGAGTCGGACGGAGGAACTGCTGCCGCTGGTGCTCCACTGCCCCCAGGGAGCGCGTGTCCTGCGCTCGTCATGCCGTTCCGCTCCGGCACGCTCCCCTCCCTGGCCACACTCGGAATATCGATTTGTTTGCCGCCGGAGGGGAGCAGCGCCACCGAAACTAAACCTGAAGCAGCTGCCCGGGCCAAACCGAGTTGTTCATTAGCGCCCTGATTTCTTCAATTATATATGCAGATGTGCCTGCCGGGGATGATGTTTCGGCCTGTCCCAGTCAGCCCACTTGTCTGAAGGTCGTTTGTCACTGTAATACACACATAAACGTCGCTCAGCCGAGTAAGCAGAAATTTTAATGTTACAAGCGAAAATTACGATTGGGGGGCAGTTCGCCATTTACCATTTTGTGGGCCTCGCCGGGCTGTAAATTTGCATGCCATGCCATTCATTCCCCTCCCCCAAAATGCGGTTAGGGATTGTGGCTAGCAGGGAGCTTAAGGATAAGCGTGTGTACTTTTAAGTGCCCGAAATGAAAAGTTGTGTAGGACCTTGTTCAGGATTCCGGACAAACATGCGGCGTCTGCGTCTTATCATGTCGCCGGAGAGAAGCAGCCGGCCTTGTTTGCCAGCAAAGTGCCATTAAATGCAATTAAGCACTTTGATTCTCCACCTGCAGTGGCTGTTTGAGGGCTGGCACTCCACTTTTCATCTAAGCTGAGCGGGTAAACGATTCAGGAGTCACTGTAGGTTTGCCCAACTAAAACCTTATATTCCAAGGGAACAAACTATGGTTGGGAAAGGTACTTAAAGCAACTGGCCAAAAGATTAGGGCATTAATTGTTGGCTAGTTTTCAGCTTACACTATCAGAGATGAACGGAGGAGTCACTGTTAAATAATATCAATTAATTACGACTTTTACACTCGCTCTTTTTTGCGGCTTTTCGAAGATATTGGGACTTCTCTTTTAGTTGGTTTAGTTTAAGATATTATTGGACTCGGCCCATTGACTATATAGAATTTATATAAGCCAATGACCAACAGATTTAATTTGGAAATGATTGGCCTGTTTCAGCAGACATTTTATCTTTGATGAGCGAGGAAGGCATTGAAAACTTAATTGTAGTTTATTTTTGGCTTTGCTTGACTACACAAGATTTATGTAGCGGGTCATTGTGACTTAAGTTGTTTTGGGAATTAGCTGGACTCCGTCAAAAGGATTTAAGCAAAGCCTTGTGGACAGCTTCACAAAATAGCCGTCTGAGTTGGGAAGTGATTTTCAGTGACTGCGACCCGGAAAGTGCCCATTTGTTTTAACAAAGATTTAATTATAGAATGTGGGACACCAGTGCAGCACCCCTCGCAGTAGTCACTGTGACCCAGAAAATGTACCTTATTCGCAGTAGGAATTTGCAGGACTGCAAGCCTCTGGCCAATAAGATTTAATTATAGATTGCCGGACTGTTTGACTTGGACTTAGTGGGATATCTAGCCGATCGATAAACACATCACTCGGCGTCACAGGTACGTTCATCTCATGTCTCCCCGTAGCTCCCATCATATTGCAGGCCCGTATGGGCCGGTCACTTGCATGTTTATTCAGCCCAGTCCAGTCCGGGCCGCTATCCGGAATTATTTTGCCACGACACGTGGCCCGAAAGCCGCCAAGTCTTGAGTACACTTGCATGTTCGCCTATAATTTGTCCTTTGCGGCTGCTGCGGCAGCGACTCCGACTCCGGCCAGTTTGTTTGAGTCACGTAAATACGGTTGTCAACTTTGCTGCCCGGAGCCCTGTGCATGACATGACCCATATTTCCAGCACCGACCACCACATGCACACTCGGTGGCCAAACGTGTGCGCAATTGTGTGTGTCCTTTGTTTGAGGCAGTTCCAAAATTTATTCCCACCTTTGAAATTTAACGAGCGCGCGGCATTTACGCTGATTTCCTTTTTGGCTTTCGAGGGCCCACGAGGGCCGTTCTAGGCGTTTCCATTAACCCCGGTTTCCCTGCCGCCAAAGTGCACTTCCACTTGTGCCCACAATGCCGCAAGTGCAACAAAACGAAGCCACCAAAACAAAAGCAACAGCCCTGCGCGGCGTTCCATTTCCGCCGCTTGCATCCCATCCCCTTGCGCTGCCCGCCAGACCCAGGAATCCGAATTCCGTGGCTGGTTCGTGTCCCTGTGACTTTCTAATTCGAGCCAATGGGCGGCCAACTGGGGTGGGGCCGCGGGTAATGAGCGATCGGGGTGGACTCACCTCCTCGTATATGAAGGTGTCAATCTCCTCCAGCGGCTTGCCGTACATGTGCTCCGGAAAGGGCTCGAACTTGCGGGGCAGCACGTCGCCGTCCTCCACGGAGGCCTTGGTGCGCGGGTGGAAGCCGTACTCACGCACCAGTTGGATGTGCCGGTTCTCGTGCTTGACCTGCGACCTCTGCGTATACGCAACGACCTGGTGCTTGGCGACAGCTGGAAGAGATCGGAGTAATTAGCACAGGAAGACATTCGACATTAGGCTATAAGTTTTTTTAAATATAAAATCTATACCATAGAAAAGCTTTTTGTATTTTAAAATAAAAGACGGTGTTGTTTTTCACTTAATTCGCTTTTTTACTTAGAAGTCCACTTGTGCGTTACCTTTTTTCAAGACATCGGAAACAAATTGATCAAGGTTAAAATGACAAATTTAAATGCAGATTTTTAGAGAATAAGAACACGAGTCGTAAGAGGCATGCCACTTTGAAACCGGATTAAATTTGGTAAAGTTGTGGCATCTGGAAGTCCAATTATGGGACCCCTTTTTTCAAGTCATCGAAAACTTAGAAATAACTAACATGAAAATGGGTCAAAATTTTGATCAACGTTAAATGAAAAATTTTGAATGCATATTTTTTGAGAATCAAAACACGAGTCGTAAGAGGTATCCCATTTTGAAACCGGATTAAATTTGGTAAAGTTGTGGCATCTGAAAGTCCAATTATGGGACCCCTTTTTTCAAGTCATCGAAAACTTGGAAATAACTAACATGAAAATGGGTCTAAATTTTGATCAACGTTAAATGAAAAATTTTGAATGCATATTTTTTGAGAATCAAAACACGAGTCGTAAGAGGTATCCCATTTTGAAACCGGATTAAATTTGGTAAAGTTGTGGCATCTGAAAGTCCAATTATGGGACCCCTTTTTTCAAGTCATCGAAAACTTGGAAATAACTAACATGAAAATGGGTCCAAATTTTGATCAACGTTAAATGAAAAATTTTAAATGCAGATTTTTTGAGAATCAAAACACGAGTCGTAAGAGGTATCCCACTTTGAAACCGGATTAAATTTGGTAAAGTTGTGGCATCTGAAAGTCCAATTATGGGACCCCTTTTTTCAAGTCATCGAAAACTTAGAAATAACTAACATGAAAATGGGCCAAAATTTTGATCAACGTTAAAGTGATAAATTTGAATGCAGATTTTTAGAGAATCAAAACACGAGTCGTAAGAGGTATCCCACTTTGAAATCGGATTAAATTTGGTAAAGTTGTGGCATTTGGAAGTCCAATTATGGGAGCCCTTTTTTCAAGTCGGCGAAAACTTAGAAATAACTAACATGAAAATGGGTCAAAATTTTGATCAACGTTAAAGTGATAAATTTGAATGCAGATTTTTAGATAATCAAAACACGAGTCGTAAGAGGTATCCCACTTTGAAATCGGATTAAATTTGGTAAAGTTGTGGCATCTGGAAGTCCAATTATGGGACCCCTTTTTTCAAGTCATCGAAAACTTGGAAATAACTAACATGAAAATGGGTCCAAATTTTGATCAACGTTAAATGAAAAATTTTAAATGCAGATTTTTTGAGAATCAAAACACGAGTCGTAAGAGGTATCCCACTTTGAAATCGGATTAAATTTGGTAAAGTTGTGGCATCTGAAAGTCCAATTATGGGACCCCTTTTTTCAAGTCATCGAAAACTTGGAAATAACTAACATGAAAATGGGTCTAAATTTTGATCAACGTTAAATGAAAAATTTTGAATGCAGATTTTTGAGAATCAAAACACGAGTCGTAAGAGGTATCCCATTTTGAAACCGGATTAAATTTGGTAAAGTTGTGGCATCTGAAAGTCCAATTATGGGACCCCTTTTTTCAAGTCATCGAAAACTTGGAAATAACTAACATGAAAATGGGTCTAAATTTTGATCAACGTTAAATGAAAAATTTTGAATGCAGATTTATTGAGAATCAAAACACGAGTCGTAAGAGGTATCCCATTTTGAAACCGGATTAAATTTGGTAAAGTTGTGGCATCTGAAAGTCCAATTATGGGACCCCTTTTTTCAAGTCATCGAAAACTTGGAAATAACTAACATGAAAATGGGTCAAGATTTTGATCAGCGTTAAATGAAAAATTTTGAATGCAGATTTTTGAGAATCAAAACACGAGTCGTAAGAGGTATCCCATTTTGAAACCGGATTAAATTTGGTAAAGTTGTGGCATCTGAAAGTCCAATTATGGGACCCCTTTTTTCAAGTCATCGAAAACTTGGAAATAACTAACATGAAAATGGGTCTAAATTTTGATCAACGTTAAATGAAAAATTTTGAATGCAGATTTTTTGAGAATCAAAACACGAGTCGTAAGAGGTATCCCACTTTGAAACCGGATTAAATTTGGTAAAGTTGTGGCATCTGAAAGTCCAATTATGGGACCCCTTTTTTCAAGTCATCGAAAACTTAGAAATAACTAACATGAAAATGGGTCAAAATTTTGATCAAAGTTAAAGTGATAAATTTGAATGCAGATTTTTAGAGAATCAAAACCCAAGTCGTAAGAGGTATCCAAATTTGAAATCGGATTAAATTTGGTAAAGTTGTGGCATTTGGAAGTCCAATTATGGGACCCCTTTTTTCAAGTCGGCGAAAACTTAGAAATAACTAACATGAAAATGGGTCAAAATTTTGATCAAAGTTAAAGTGATAAATTTGAATGCAGATTTTTAGAGAATCAAAACACAAGTCGTAAGAGGTATCCCACTTTGAAATCGGATTAAATTTGGTAAAGTTGTGGCATTTGGAAGTCCAATTATGGGACCCCTTTTTTCAAGTCATCGAAAACTTAGAAATAACTAACATGAAAATGGGTCAAAATTTTGATCAACGTTAAATGAAAAATTTTGAATGCAGATTTTTTGAGAATCAAAACACGAGTCGTAAGAGGCATCCCACTTTGAAATCGGATTAAATTTGGTAAAGTTGTGGCATTTGGAAGTCCAATTATGGGACCCCTTTTTTCAAGTCATCGAAAACTTGGAAATAACTAACATGAAAATGGGTCCAAATTTTGATCAACGTTAAATGAAAAATTTTAAATGCAGATTTTTTGAGAATCAAAACACGAGTCGTAAGAGGTATCCCACTTTGAAATCGGATTAAATTTGGTAAAGTTGTGGCATTTGGAAGTCCAATTATGGGACCCCTTTTTTCAAGTCATCGAAAACTTAGAAATAACTCACATGAACATGGGTCAAAATTTTGATCAAAATTAAATGAAAAATTTTAAACGCAGATTTTTTGAGAATCAAAACACGAGTCGTAAGAGGTATCCCACTTTGAAATCGGATTAAATTTGGTAAAGTTGTGGCATTTGGAAGTCCAATTATGGGACCCCTTTTTTCAAGTCATCGAAAACTTAGAAATAACTAACATGAAAATGGGTCAAAATTTTGATCAAAGTTAAATGAAAAATTTTAAACGCAGATTTTTTGAGAATCAAAACACGAGTCGTAAGAGGTATCCCACTTTGAAATCGGATTAAATTTGGTAAAGTTGTGGCATTTGGAAGTCCAATTATGGGACCCCTTTTGTTAAAACTTAGAAATAACTAACATGAAAATGGGTCAAAATTTTGATCAAAGTTAAATGAAAAATTTTAAACGCAGATTTTTAGAGAATCAAAACACGAGTCGTAAGAGGTATGCCACTTTGAAATCGGATTAAATTTGGTAAAATTGTGGCATTTGGAAGTCCAATTATGGGACCCCTTTTTTCAAGTCATCGAAAACTTAGAAATAACTAACATGAACATGGGTCAAAATTTTGATCAACGTTAAAGTGATAAATTTGAATGCAGATTTTTAGAGAATCAGAACACGAGTCGTAAGAGGTATCCCACTTTGAAATCGGATAAAATTTGGTAAAGTTGTGGAATCTGGAGGTCCAATTATGGGACTCCTTGAAATAATGCTGATCAATAATATATATACTTGATAAAGTCGGAAATCTGCGCTGCAAACTCTTGACTAAAGTTATATTGCAAAGGTATAAATATACACATTTGAAACAAGGGATCCCTTTTTTGAATATTCAGACAAACTTTCACATAAAATATGTCAGAATCTGTTCAAGCTGGATTCACGCAAGTTAAATAAAAACATATTCTTAAATAGTTGTACTAACAATTTGTGCGATAAAATAAATCTTACTTATGAAGCTCTTGAACTAGATGTCCATTAGGGTCAGGAATTATGCTTTTAAAAGTTCTCCGAACTGTAATCCTTTATATTATTGTCAGACAAATTATTTGTGTTTAAACATATAAAATCCAGCAGAATTTTGAGTTATGGACACGAACTTAAACGAAGCCTAGCCAGTGTCCACTCAATAATTAAATACAGTGCGGAATGACCACACACCATCTCACAACTTTGCGTACCATTGTAGCTCCTGCATTGCTGGAGAGTCCGTTCGTGGAACCGAGCCCACACCCACCACCCCCCGATGCCTGAGAACTCGGCGCGAATCCAGGTAATGCAGGCCGTCGGCGGCGGAATCGCCGGAGCCGCCACTCGCACCATAACCCAGCCCTTGGACGTGCTGAAGATCCGCTTCCAGATGCAGGTCGAGCCAGTCACGAACCACAAGGGCTCCAAGTACCGCGGAGTCATCCACGCCATCAAGTCTGTGTACGCCGAGGAGGGGATGCGGGGCATGTTCCGTGGACACAACTCCGGCCAGGTGCTGAGTGTCACCTACGCCCTGGTGCAGTTCTGGTGCTACGAGCAGCTGCGCTACATGGCCCACCACTCGCCCTTCTGGAACGAGCGTCCCTTCCTCATGTTTTTCTTCTGCGGAGGACTGGCCGGGTGTCTGGGCGGCTTGGTGACCCAGCCCCTGGACGTGGTGCGGACGCAGATAGTGGCCGCCGATCCCTCGTCGCACCGCAGCCAGATGAGCACCCTGCACGGGCTGCGAAGGGTCTACCGGCTGGAGGGCTGGGCGGGTCTTTTCCGGGGACTGCCCTTCACGCTGGCGCAGATCTTCCCGCTGGTGGGGGGAAACTTTCTGTTTTACAAGTACCTGAACGCCCTGGTACTGATGGCCAAGCCGCCCGAGCAGCGCCAGGAGATCCACGGCGGCTTCCTCTTCCTCAACGGGGCCTTGTCCGGGGTGGCGGCCAAGATGCTCGTCTACCCGGCGGACCTGCTCAAGAAGCGCATCCAGTTGGTGGCCTTCAAGCACGACCGGAAGAGCTTTGGCCGGAACCCCGACTGCCCCACGATCCTGGGGTGCATCACCACCACGTTCCGGGTGGAGGGACTGGGAGGCTTCTACAAGGGCATGTCGCCCACCCTGCTCAAGGCCGGGCTGACCAGCGCCGTCTACTTCACCATCTACGACTTGTTCAAGCGGCACTACATCGGCCCCATGAAGGAGGCCGACAAGGTCCGGCCCAAGCACGGGAAGTAGTGGTCGTAACAGTCGTCAAGCACAGTCGAATGTGTCCGGGTGAGTGATAAAATAATTCGGAGGCCGGCTTAAATTATTACACTAACATGGTTTATTTTGTACATCAGCATCGCGTGAGGATGTGTGGAATATGGATGAGCGAACAAGTCGTATATAAGTTAAGAGTCCCGTGGATGGAGTGAATTGAAGGGCATATGCGGTAGACTAGACGACCAGATGGCCAAGGCCGGACATTGCCGCCTACTTCCAGTTGGAGCTGGATCCCGCCCAGCCGCCGGAAGCTGGCGCCGAGTAGCTGTACCCGTCGCCACCTCCGCCGGAGGATCCGGATCCGCCATAGGAGCCACCGCCGGAAGCAGCAGCAGCGGCCACCACCTGGGTATCGTAGCTGGATCCGCCGCCGCTGCTGTAGCCACCGCCATGTCCACCGCTGTATCCTCCGGAGCTGTAAGAGGAGCCACCGCTGTAGGAGGAGCCGGCGCTGTAGGAGGAGCCACCGGAGTAGCCGCCATCGTATCCGCCCGATGAGCCACCGCTGTAACCTCCGGAGCCGTGGGAATCACTGGCGGCAGCAGCGGCAATCAACTGGGTATCATGGCCACCACCGCCGTGTCCGCCCCCGCTGTAGCCCCCGTATCCACCGCTGCCTCCGTGGGCGGAGGAGTCCGAGGTGGCGGCAATCGCAGCGATGTTGGCGATGGCATGGCCACCGTAGTCTCCACCGTGTCCGCCGCCGCTGCCGCCGTGGCTGTGGCCATGTCCGTGATCAGACGACGAACCGGCGGCCGCTGCGATGGCTGCAATCTTGGCATCATCGTTACCGGAGCTATACCCGCCGGAGCTGTACCCGCCGGAGCTGTATCCGCCGGAGCTATATCCGCCGGAACCGTGGCCTCCGTGATTCTCGGTGATGACGGCGTAGGTGTTAACATGACCACCGCCTCCGCCGCCGCCGCCGCCGCTGTAGCCTCCATCATGAGAGTGAATCTCGTAGCCACCGCCTCCATGACCGCCAAAGTCGCCGCCTCCGTGGCCTCCGAAGTCACCGCCTCCGTGGCCGCCGTGGTCGCCGTGGTCGCCACCGCTCTCCGGAAGGTGGATGCGGATGTGGACGTGCTCGCGTCCGAATGTGGGCTTGCCCCAAACAGCCGGACTGGCCAGCAGGAGTGCACTGATCTGGGATTGGTGGAGGAAATCGGGGGTTAGGATCCAACTGGACTGGTGGTGCGCCGCGGTAAACTCACTATGAAGCGGGCTGCCATTTCTCTGGATTCGTTGCCAAGGACTCTTGGATGATAGCTTGCCTCTGGACCGACTGGAAATGATTCGGCAATCGTGACTGCGCGCCGTTTTATAGCCCTCGTCTCCACTCGGGAGCCATGGGGTTACATAAGCAATCGCGACGCCGCCGAGCAAGTGCAAAGATAATCTCTTTCGGCGGCGACGACCAGACCCACTGGAGCTCCACGACCGCGACCCATTGAAGGCCACATGGCCGCGTCTTCGTTTTGCTTTTCTTCACTCTTCACTCTCCACTCTTCACTCTCCCTTTCTGCGGATCGCGAGAGTGTTGACCTTTCACATCATCCCCAGCATGTGCCCTTTGCAAACTCCGCTCTTCCCTCACTCGTACACGGAAAGAAGTTGAGCCATTTTGTATAGTCTATGTAAAAATTATTTTAAGCCGATTCGACGTTTTTATATTAAACGGTGTGTAGCCAACGTAAGTGTATCAAAGCTGTTTCGCTTTTCATAAGAAATATCTTACACGACAAACAAAACCTGTTTCTTAGACTTCATTGAGATCGCAGAAAGTCACTCAAAGAAATTCACCAGGAATCGTTCTTGAAGTATAAACAAAATATAAGACGAAAAGAGAATCCAAGCTTTCCTATTATTATACAATATAAAACCATTTCCATATATGGTCAGATTATTTTAATGTTTACTTTATGATTTTGTTGTTCCATATTTTTAAGAAGCAAAGTTACAAATTAATATATAGCCACTATGTGTAAGTTGCTTATTAATTTTAAAAATTGGGAAATTCGATTAAAATAAGTTAGATTTTAAAACCCTTTTTTCTCCCTGTGCACTGACTCACTCTCTCCCGAGGAGCATTGGCTTCTCTGCTCCACTTTCGTTTGAGAGAAAATCTGAGTGGCCCTAAGCTTTTTGGGCTGGTTGCCGAAAATAGTTAAAATCGAAACTCAAACTGTGGTAATATGCAACTTGACCAGTTCCAGTTTTGGCCCAGAGCTCGTTGTTATAGCCACTTTATCATATCGTCGATGCTGGCTGTTAACCGTTAGGTATTTTGTTGACGTTCATGTATATGGATGTTTATGCAGATTCAAACTTCCTATTGGCAATTCCTTATTGTTGCTCCGGACTTGCATAACAATTGGCCAAGGGTGGTGGGCTGAATTGGCTGCTGGTCGGGTCGTTGGTCATTAACCCATTGATGGCCGTTCCCGTCCAGCCGCGCCGGAAATTGTCCCGATAATGCTGTTATCGCTAGCGCTAAAGATTTACTGGGGCGGCGAAACTGGTTCTGTTCTTCGGTTTGGGCCAGGTCAGTGGGCGGTGGCCCCCTGGAACTTCTCCTTTTCGAAAGCCTGCTCGGAAAGTGGCTCTCGAGCGATATTGGGTTAAGCCTCGCCTGCAGCAGCATCAAAAATATCTTGTCATGCTCCGGCGCTGCAACATTGGCAAAAAAAGTACCGTCCCGTGGGTTTGTTTCGCTCTTACATCAGCGAGTCGTCCGACTGACGGACTGCCAGCGGAGAGAGGTCATGGCCACTGGCCACCCAACACCCACCGCCAGCCCGCCCCCTCCGTTATGCATTCGCGTTGATTAGCCACAGTTTTCATTAGCATTGAGTGACTGAGCCAGCGAGTGGGCCGCAGTCTTCATCCGAACCGCCGGAATCGGGGCCATCCGGCCATTTCGATTACGTCGCTGATTATCATTTCTCATCTGGGCAGCTTGGCAGCTCGGCAGGTTCCATCGTTGCCGAATAATTAATACACATTTAAACTGTTTCGGATGGTAAACAAAAGCGGGCTTACATAAGGAGCTAGCTGCCAGCGAGCGGGACTCCAACGCAACAATCTGTTGCCAATCAAACCGTAATGACGATCATAATCACAATGCTGTGTCGAATGAAGTTCGAACTGGGAGCTGGAGCATTGGAGCTGCATTTCAATACCATAAGAGCATCTCTCGATGCTGGATTACATCTTTTAGCGAGGGCCTTGCTCACGATGATGAAGCTGCTTCTGCTGCCGTGATGATGACGGCAATGACGATGGGCAACCGGTTGGCGGTCGCACATTAACATGAGATGCAAGACGCACATCTTCCCCGTGTTGCATAATCGAAACTCCAGACTCGCCGCCGCATCTTCACGCGGAAGCAAAACCATTCTCAAAGCACCCAAAAACAAAAAGGAAATTGCACACAGGCACAGAAAACCCAAAAGCAACTCACAACGTGCAATGTCGTTGTTTTCCCAAAAAACCAGTTGCATCCACACACGGCGAGAAAAGTTTTCATTTGACTAATACAAGTGAAAATATTGTTAAGATAAAGGGAGGTATTATATTTAGTGAATTTAGTTTCGTTGAAATACCTTAAATGTATAAAAACAATTCACATTTTGAGCGAAAGTTGATAAAGAAACTGAGGGACTAGTTTTACTAGCATTACTCTGATTAGATATTTATACATTTTATGGCTATAAGAGTGCAACACAATGCAAATATAATAAACAGCAAAAGGGTTCTAGAGTGTTTCAACTTTTAATTATTTTTGAAACTTTAAGTGACACTTTAAAAACGTCTTGCTGAATTGCTTGCCATATTTTCGGTTCATTTAACTTACTTTCTTTTAGTGCAGCTATTGTTGCAGTTGCAGTTGCAATTGGTGTTGCTGCTTCAGTTGCAGTTGCAGCTGCGCAGACCTTTGCACAAGTTCAATGGTGAATGGAAATTGAAATGGGATTGGGATTGGGACTCGGAGCGGGGACTAAGGGGGCGGGGCAATTACGCCCCTCGCACACGGGCCACTTTCTATGGGGCGCTCTCCACTTGCTTCCTGGCCCTGGCCAAAAACCAAATCCAATTCGAGGGCTACGAGGCGAAAAGGAAGGTAACCCAAGCCAAAGCCAAATCCGAAGGAGAAGCCGATGCAGCGATGCGGGACAAACAAAAGTGAAAAAGCGAATCGGGAGAATAAAGCGAGATGCAGCAGCAATTGCTCTACATATTTAATTAGTTTCCGTTTCCGTTCATATTCGTAATCCGCAGCAGGCAGCGCCTGCTGGCCTTTGTGCATTGTTCACCTCCCCAATGAATATCCTCCGCTGACAATGGCGCCCACCGCCCACTCATCCGCCCACCAGGCCTTCCCCTCCCCCCGCCGGCGACCGAAAGGACAAATTGCGCTCTCTATCGGCGCCTGAAAAACGGTTGCGTAACTTATGGCCAGTCATCAGCCGAAGCTTTTGCGTCCAGCAAAACCGCTTCCCATTTTCGATTTGTTTATCATTTATTTAAACGGCCTTAGGGTCGGCCTGTCCTGCCATTAAGCCGCTTCGATTCCATGCTTGTTTTATTGGCCAAGACCCAGACCCAGACCCAAGCTCATGCCCATGAACAAGCCAAGGCACAGGCCAAGAACCGGCCAAGCAATCGCCAGCACACAATGAGCAATGCTATTTAATTATGTTGATGAGCAGGACCGAACAGGAGGACAGGAAGGGAGTCCGGGAAGTGGCAGGAAAACGCACAGCACGCACAAAAGGCAAATGCCTTCGGCCTTGCCACCCCAAACCCGACACTCCTATGTCGGCATTCCGTTATCTCGCACTGTGGGTGGCTCCCAAACAAAGTGAACTCCCAAAATGCCTGCAATAACCTGATGATTAATGATCGCTTTCAAGCTCATAACTTTCCCAATTACTATGTTTGTAAAACATGTAAGTTTCTAAGCTACCGGTTTCGGGGTTTTAAAACAATCAGAAATAAAAGATGTATAAAAAAAGGTTTATAACATCAGAACTATTTAGGCGAATTTGGAATCCGACAAATAAAGATGCAGTAGAGAACCAGCCACCCTTAAACGACTAACGAGTTCAATCAATTTTACATCGTTTAAAAACACTAAACGTCTAATTGTTATTTCACCTGTAAAAAGACAGCTTAAATAAGATTTGTTGACAGAAATTTGTTTCCGCCAATACAATGTAATGCTTTACAGATTCCAAGGCTTGAACAATCTACCTATAGCCAATATATTTAAATGGGTACTTTTACACGGGGCATTATCAACCCACTTTTACCAATCCTTTGAAAGTCTTCATAACTGTCTGAAAATAGGTCTTTTGACTTCAGTCAACCGCATCTGTGCTTCACAACCACTGTGCACGACTTTCGCTTAGTTGGCGTGCAGGTGTCGCTGTCAGGATGTCGGAGGAGCTGGGGGCAGGAGCAGGAACAGGAGCAGGAGTCGTGCCCCCGACACCTGCCCTCTTGGCCCTTCAATGCATTTGCCCTGGCATACAGATTTGATGGCCTCCCCATTACCAAGCCCCAGATTGCCCATCCCCCTGGACACGCAAGAATAATATTTATGAGGCCGGGTGGCTTGGAAAACTATCAATAGCAGTATCAGCAGGGCTTAGCGGTTAGGGGACTCACCTTTCTCATCGTTGGACACCGCTTGATCATCACTCATCTTGACTGATTGTCGTCGTTTGGTTGGTTGCTGCAGCGGCTGCCTCTGGTTGCTGTTGGTCCTTCGTCCTTGCCGAGGTCCTTAGGGCTGCTTCATTCCTCGCTCTCTCTTAGCTGGCTTCTCACTCGATTTTCGAACACTGCTCATATGTCTGTCTCACTTTTCAGGCGAGCGGATCGCTCAGTTTACCGTTAATATTGTCACCGTTCCCTTTGTTAACCATTTTGTGCGTAGTATCTACTATTGCTGATGCTGTTTTTGTTGTTGTGCTTATCACGCTGGGGGCTTTCATGATGCCTATTGGTATTGCTATTGCTATGCTATGCAAATCTTATGACTACGACCGTTTCCAATAATGGCATTTGGCATCGCCTCAGCTCGTCTCCTCGCTCCTCAGATTTTTCGTCTACTTCTATTGTGAGCTTTGGCTTTGTTGTGTTGATTATTGCTTTACATTTTGCGATGCGTCTGTTTTGTAAATGGAAGAGATGGAAAGAAATTGATGTGAGTGGAGAGATTTAAGCTTATGTAAGTAGGGGGAATGCGAGTAAATTAAATCGCCTCTGCCCGCAATTGCTCTGCCTCGAGTCGTGTAACGGTAATTGGCAGCGCGCTAATCCCCGGGAGCTCAAGTCGCCAACCCTCCAACCCACGCACACACACGGCACACTCAGAAAAAAAACATTTTCGCATTTAAAAGTAATGATTTTTCTGAATTTAAGAATCTTAGCTGCAATTATTTCTTTAATTCTTTAAATTAATTTAAAAATTCTCCTTCACTGCGTTGTAAACTTTTGACTAATGCTATAATAATTAGTATGCTCCTTGATTCTGTGTTGCAGGACTGCAACTATTTCCTTAAAATGGAAATAAGATTGAACTGGATATTTATAAATGTTTTTAACAACTCTATAAGCTCACGTTTGAAAGGTCATTAAGATTTCGAAAGACATTTTCCCCGGGTGCAGTACGTATACGTAACGTAACGACTCACTCGACTTACGTGTGTGTAATGTGCGTAACGGAAGAGATAAACACCTGCGAGTGGGGGGAAAAGAGCGGGGGGATTGAGACGAGTGCCGGGAAATGAGCGCCGCTTTAAGACGTAAAGCTTGAACGAGATAAAGTTAATTAACATTATGGGCACACACACAATCTAGCATCTCCCCGCACACCAACGCAAGCAAAGTAAGATACAAGAATTGATAAATGGGCGCCCAACAAAAAGCAATGAGGTTGCGTGGGCAGTGGCGTAGGAGGGGGTGTGGCAGGGGATGCTGCTCATTGCTCGGCGCTTTGTTGATTTTGCTCCCGGCATTGTTGTGCCTCCTCCACATGTAAATGTATATGTGGGGGCATCTGCCTGTGAAGGCCTGTGCTTTCTGTTGTGTTTTTCGCAAACTTCTTGACACGTCTGCAAGCAACTGGCAGCGAAAATGGAAAAGCGTTAGATGAAGGCACCCATAAAATATTCAATATCAAGTTTCCACCTCCCCGTTATGGCAGTTGATGTTTGCTGGCGGAAATTCGCTGGCAGCGGGACGGCAGTGGGATGAATGGGATGGCTGGGCTGGCAGGGATGTTCCTACGGCCATTAGGCCCGGAGGCTGGGCTGCCATAGGAGACAGATCCACCTGCATCTGTTGTCTGTTGGTTGTTGGTCCGAGCACACACAAATCGGCAAAAACACTTTTATTACAACAATAAGAGCGGCGCTGAAGGCATTAAACAATGTGTTGTTGGATCACAATTTTACGGCGGGGTCTTCCCCTTGGGGGCGGACTCCGTTTCTGTTTCTGGGCGTGACCAGCGGTGGGTTTAAAGTTGGCCCATAAAAGTGCGACTGGCAGAGCTTTGCCAGTTGGCCCCTAAAGTTGTGCTACAAATCCTCTTCTCAGTCCCCCCCCGCCATTTTCAGCTCTCGCACGAAAGGAAGAACGAAGGGATACGACACGAGGCGAAGCGAAAGTGTGGCCGCCTAGTTAAGTGCACATCAAGAGCTAATTTATGGCCCCACATTGTGGTTACCTCCCCACCCATTTCAAGGTTCGATTTTACCTCTAAACATTGGCCATAAGTTGTTTACTATCCGCTGCAGTTGTAATTCTGGTTGCTTGATGTTCGGGATAATAGCTGGGCTTTATGTAATCGCTTATATGCGTTCACTATGGCTATTTCTATTTCTATATCTATTTTCGTATTTTACTTTCTTGGGCCTGCAATACGGGCACACACACACTATTGCACTTCACTTTCGCCTCGCTTTCCACTCTTACACTTCCACTTCCATTTCCAATTCCCAACACTGGCCCAATCACTATTCCCGATTCAGTTGTTGTTGCTCCTGCGGCTGTGTTTTATTTGATTTTATTTTACATTAATTACATTTTTATTTAGTCGCAACTGTGCAACAATGTGGATGGGAATGGGGGTGGTAGTGGTGTGGGGAAACGGAACCAGCAACAAAAACAGAAACAACACAAAGCAAAAAACTTGGGGCACGCACAGTGTTTGACACACACACACACACACACATACACTCCAGCGGACTGAGAAGTGTTATTACAATTTACTGTTGATTTCTTTCGCGGCCCTGCAAGTGAGAGCGAGCGGGATAGCCAGGGGCCTCCCTGCCAGTGTGTGTGTCTGTGTGCGAAAGCGTGCGAAAGAGCGCGAAAATGTAGGTTAGTTTCCGCCGTGGCCCCTCCCCCGCGCAACAGCAGCAGCAAGAACAACATGCAGCACACATTTCACTCTATTTTTGGGCGCTGAAGAATTTTCCTCGCACAGAATGCACTTGTTCTGCTAACGCGTACGGCTAAGTGTGTGCGCGGGTCCTTTCTGCGATATTTCTCTAGCCTTTTCAGGCCTTACACTGCCTTCCACCGCTTTTCACCATATTCCTTGTGCTTTTTCACTTCACACATAGACACTGGGCCACTGTACGTACGTGCGCTCGCATGGCGACTGCTCGGTTCTAAGGTTCGTCGGCGACTGAGCTCGGCTAACGGGTTTTCCTTTCCGTTTGACGTAATCTGCAGGGCGACCGCGATGCAGAGCGATGAAAAAACACACACAGCACACATCAAATTCCCCCGTATTCTGCCGAAAAAGGACTCGTCAGGGAAATTCTCTCTCGCTGTCGTGCGCGCACTTTCTCCGCGCCCTCGCGTTTGCTTGCAGGTCAGCCGGCATAAACAAATGCCGTGCCACATGCCACACGACCGACTTCCCCCTATTCGTCCGATTTAAATTCCGATTCCGAATCCTTCGCTGCTGCACCGCGGGCCAAAAGAGATCCCCGCCACCGTCCCTTTTTTGCTGCAGAGAAAATGTCAAAATGATTAAGCTTGAATATGGGCCACTGGCTAACAAAACCAGCAGCATGCGGACGCTGTTCATCAGTCTAAAATGGTGTAAGGATGCCTTCCGCCTTCCCCTCTGCGATTTTTGCCTCTGGCTGGCACTCGCCGCGTATACGTAATGTCGGAACCAGCACGCGACGTATACGCAACGTTGGCTCGAGAGATCGCTAGCTGGGGTTCTTTCATTTCGCAATGGCAGATAAGCTCAGAGCTCCGTCCCCAAAGTGATAAGCTCGCAACTCGTCTGGCAGCTCAGTTCTATTCGAGATTCCGCACGAGTCGGAAGCAAAACCCAAGCCGAATATACAAGGCCACTGGCTAACAAAGCCAGCAACATGCGGACGCTGCTCATCAATCTAAAATGGTGTAAGGACGCATTCCGCCTTCCCCTCTGCGATTTTTACCTCTGGCTGGCACACTCCGCGTATACGTAATGTCGGAACCAGCACGTGACGTATACGCAACGTTGGCTCGCGAGATCGCTAGCTGGGGTTCTTTCGTTTCGCAATGGCAGATAAGCTCAGAGCTCCGTCCCCAAAGTGATAAACTCGCAACTCGTCTGGAAGCTCAGTTCTATTCGAGATTCCGCCCGAGTCGGAAGCAAAGCCCAAGCCGAATTTACAAGCACCCAGATAAGCTTATCGAGGCGAAGCGGAAGCCACCCCAGGCCATAATGCGGCTGTCATTGTTAGGAGTACCCTTTCTGATCCTCCTGCTGATCTCGTCGGGGGACTGCCTCTCCAGATCCAATCACACTGCGGGAAATGAAGTGTCCACCAAGCGGATCCTTGATATGGCCACTAGCCGCATGCGCAACATCTGGTCTTTACAGCGCAGGATCTTCCTCCAGCTCACGGCCAAGGGCAAGTCGCCGCTGGGCGGACAAGTGTTGAACGCCAAGCAGGAGGTGGAGGCGGAGACCTACCGACTGCTCTACGATCTGGCTGCTAACCTAAGTGTAGTGCCAGTGGCACAACTGGATGACCCACTTATGCGCAGGCGTGTTCAGCGCATGGCCAAGCTGCAGCTGCAGGGACTCCGGCCAAAGGACTACGAGCAGGCCAAGGACCTTCTGCGGCAAACGCACAGTTTTGTGAGCGGCCAGCTGGTTTGCCAACAGGAGGATTGCTCAGCCCATGGCCCCCTGGCCATGTACCCACAGATCGTGAATAAAAACATGCGCACCAAGCTTTACGAGGATCTCTTTGCCAACTGGTTTGCCTGGCGCAAAGCAGTCAACGAGAAGGAGACGGCCAAGTCCACTTTTATCGATTACGTGCGCCTTCTGAGGATCGCAGCCACCTACAACGGGCACGTGACGCCCTCGCGCACCTGGTACCTCAACTACGACACGGAGAACTTTCAGGCGGAACTAGAGGCGGTCGTTTGGGAGATCATGCCACTCTACCGCGAGCTACACGCTTATCTGCGCCACGAGGTGCAGTCAACCTACCCCAAGGCGGACACAAAAAGTGACGGCGCCATATCGGCACCCATAATGGACCAGATCCTGTCGCAGGACTGGTACCCGCACCAGTTCTTCCGTACCCCGCACCAGGGCAAACAGCATCAGCTGCCCTCTGTTCATCGCCGTTTGGAGGAGGTACTAGTAACGCCCGTCAAGATCAACCGCAAAGCCGCCGAGTTCTTTGAATCGCTGGGTCTAAATGTTCTCACAGAGTAAGTAATTGATGAATATTTTACACTTAAAAATTTTCCAAATTTCGATCAGCATTTTAGTTTTAAAACTTAAATATTACATTTTTGTTTTTTATCTCACCGGCAAAAATTCTATGCTCCAGATTATTATTTAATTCATTATTTAAGTTGTAAAGCAATACATTAAAAATGTTCTACCAAATGTTCTATAATGCCTTGCGTTACCACAGCCTCCTGTCCCTGACTGGTCGCACCAGGACATGTTCAATTTGCACGATCCATGCCTACAGAATATACCAACACGCTTTTTTATACCCTTGCAGAGGGTATTATAATTTTGGTCAAAAGTGTGCAACGCAGTGAAGGAGACATCTCCGACCCTATAAAGTATATATATTCTTGATCAGGATCACCTCCTGAGTTGATATAGCCATGTCCGTCTGTCCGTCTGTCCGTCTGTCCGTCTGTCCGTCTGTCCGTCTGTCTGTCCGTCTGTCTGTTTCTACGCGAACTAGTCTCTCAGTTTTAAAGATATCGAATTGAAACTTTGCACACACCCTTCTTTCCTTTGCACGCAGTATATAAGTCGGAACGGCCGGGATCGGCCGACTATATCCTATAGCTGCCATATAACTGATTGATCGGAAATGCCATAACTCTGCTGTTTGTTAAGTTAGGAAGTTGGGACTTTCTATGGGTTTTATATTTGGCCAATCAATCCGACGTACCAAATTTCATAAGGATCGGCCGACTATATCTTATAGCTGCCATATAACTGATTGATCGGAAATGCCATAACTTTGGTGTTTGTTAAGTTAGGAAGTTGGGATTTTCTATGGGTTTTATTTTTGCCTAATCAATCCGACATATCAAATTTCATAAGGATCGGCCGACTATATTCTATAGCTGCCATATAACTGAACGATTGGAAATGATATTACTTTGGTGCTTTTAAAGTTAGGAAGTTGGGATTTTTATGAGTATTAAGAATGCATTATGAATGATTTTGGAGAATATAATTTGCAGAATATTCTGCAAGGGTATTTCAACTTCGGCTCCGCCCGAAGTTAGCTTTCCTTTCTTGTTTTAGTTATATTTCATTTCCCAATATTTTAAATACCTAAAAGTGGGACCCATGTAACCCTTAAATACCTTTGTATGAGCTACTCAAAAATCTCTCCTACCCAGGAATTTCTACGATCTCTACTCGCGGAGAATGAAGGACGACGAGGGAGGGCCGGACTGCAAGTCGCAAGTGTACTATTTCCCGCCGGACGTGGCACTACGCTACTGCCCCAAATTGGACTACAAGAAGCTGATGCAGACCCATGGCACAATGGCTGAACTTCAGTACTACCTCTACAAGGAGCAGCTGCCGTTCGGGTTGGACACGGAGCCATGTCCTGGTTTCGGCGCTGCCATGGCTGAGACAGTTGTTTTGGCCTCAGGCACTGCGCGCCACCTGCACCGCCTCCACATCCTGCTGAACGACAGTCTCACGGAGCAGCAGTCGCTCAACAGACTCTTTCGCATGGGCGTACACACTCTGATAGCCGTCCCACAGTACTTCATTAATGACAAGTTCTTGGTGGACGTGATGGACGGACGGATCGGGGTGAAGGACTACAACTGCGCCTACTGGGGTCTGCAGGATAAATTCGCCGGAGTCCAGCCGCCATCGCAAAGGAACAACAAGGACTTCGATTTGGACTTTAAGTTCTATCGTGGCATGAACCCGGAAACCTCCAACACCAAGTCTGTTACAATACTTGTTATTGATTGTTGACACCTTTCTATCCACTGGCTCTTACACAGAAAATTCATTGCCGAGATCCTGGGCTTCCAGTTCTATCGCTCCTTCTGCCTGGCGAGTGGCCAATACAAGCCCGGAGATCCCAAATTCCCGCTGCACAACTGCGACTTCTACGACAGCAAGGAGGCGGGAAAGAAAATGCGCGACATGATGCAGCTGGGAGCCACTCGCCACTGGCGTGATGTCATGGAGATTGCCACCGGGGAGCGTAAGTTGAGCGGACGCGGCATCCTGGAGTACTTTGCCCCACTCTTCACTTGGCTGAAGGAGCGCAATAAGCAGCTGGACATCGAGCCAGGCTGGGATGCAGACGAATGTAAGTATGGAAGAAGGAATCTATGCTTCACATTATAGCCTGTTTTCTTTTTTGATTGCAGTGTGTCGCAGGGACTAAAGTCCCAAGTATGCTATTCCCACTTATCTTACCTTATCGCATAGAATAAACATATATAAACATACCAATAAAACCAGAGCGTACGACCTATGTAAGTATTCTTAAGGTTTTGCCAGGACTAGCTGATCAAGAATATATATAACCTTTATATACTACAACACACGCAATGGTATAATGATCGATCGTATATTTTAGGTGTTTATTTACAAAGGCACTTTGGTAAATCGACAGAAACTTACGTCTACTTTAGCACTACACATATCGTTAAGTTAGGTGTAAACTACTCATTTGGGTGGAGAGCGAAGTGGGGAACCTTCAGGGTTATGGTCGTGGCTTGATGATCGATGGGAGAGGATGAAGACGAAGGACGGACTGGGCGAATACCTCTACATAGGGCCGCTTCACATGGTCGTCTCCGAGTCTGGCGGCGTGTGGTAGTTTAGATTATAGGCAGGCGGACCGTTGTTAAGAAAGGCCATCGAGCGGATGCTTTCCCGCGAGGCAGTCCGCTTGGAGAAGGACATGGCGTAAGCTGGCGCCGGATCCATTGGCGGCGGCGGAAGATAGTGCTGCTGCTGATGCTGCTGCTGCAGGTGCATGGGATGCTGCTGGTAGAGGGGCGGAGTGCAGGGCGCCTGCGGTGGAATGGCACTGGCCCCGTTCAGTCCGGCGAACACGTTCTCGCCCGCGGCATTCCCGTAGGCGGTGGATAGCGGTCGCGAACCGTGAAAATTCGAGTAACTGGAGCGCACCGAGGGCGGCCGGTTGTTGTACAGCAGCTCATCGTTCAGGTGGGTGGTGGAGTGCTGGTAACTGGGATTGAAGTGGCCTCCTCCGCCCGACTGCAGGGTGGTCACTGTGGCAGCGGATGGCAGTGGTGGTGGTGGTGGAAGAGTCGGCGAACCCGGGTCCTCCAACACCCCCTGGCCATTTGTGTTGTAGTAGATGGGGTCCAACGGAATGTTCTTGCGGTAGCTGTGGTAGTGGTGGCGGTTGCTCTTGCCCAGACTGCCCAACTGACTGCCGGAAGCGTTCGTGTTGTTCACAATGTCATTGTTGAGCGAGTGCAGGTTGGAGGCTGTCAGCGAGAGCTTGTCCTGGCGGTGGAAAGAGCCCAGGTGCGGCTGCTGTTGTTGCTGTTGCAACTGCTGGTCGATGATCTTTGTCACCGGGTTCTGATGGTACTTCCGTCGGGAGCTGCGAGTGCTGCTCCGCACATAGCTGCCGCTGCTACTGTCCGCTCCGCCGCCATGTCCGCTGTGCCCGTGCTTGGATCTCAGTGTGCCGCTGGAGCCGTGATGCGAACGCCTGGTGCTGCTCCCTCCTCCACTAGACTGCCTTCCATGTGTGCCGCGCGCCATCACCGACCGTCGCTTGACTCGCCTCGGAGTCATCGGCTTGGGACTTAGCTCGCCGCCATCCTGGTCGCCTCGGGGATCGCCCAGCCCCAGCCCCATGGAGTGGCTGCCATGCCGGATGGTGTCGCTGCTGCTGCCGAATTCGATGGAGTACAGCGACTGGCGATGCTTGGACTGCTTGCTAATGTGCTTCACTGCGCCGGGAAGAACAAGGATGGATCAGTAGGAGATTGGCAAGACCGATAAGCCGCAAAAATATTGTTCAAAGTTACCTGTGGTTAGCTTTGAGTGTGTGTTTGTGATTGGAGCTGTTAAACAAGTTGGATTAGCTACGTTCGGAGATAGTCGAGAGTTAGCGGTTGGTTAGAGCCACAAATGCTACAGAAAGCCAGCTACCAGTGAAAAAACAACTTAGCAGGATAGATGGATCGGCTACGAAGAAGGCTTCCGAGACAGATAGAGAGAACCCTCAGTTTGGTGTAAATGAACATTTTATTGGAAACGCTTCGAATCTCGTCGAGAATTGGCACCAGTCAGCGCGATTCGCATGGCTAAAGATCAAGATCGAGGATTTATCTAAACAGTAAATAGTGTCTATGCTACATGGATTTGGATCTGCTCTGCTAATGCATTTGTGTGGCCTCAAGCTTAATACTAGACTTAACAGTTTTATAGATTTTGTATCTTTACGTTTGTATAACGGATCTCGCACTTAACTCAATAGGCAACTTCTTGTTTGTGTTCGACAACTAACGTTTGCATCGTAGTACATTTCGAAGTTTGTGGTAAATGTGTGTATATCGTATATTAGTTAAACAACAAAAGGCAGCTCTTAGGGAGGCTGCGCTCTCCCGCACATAACATCAGTATATATGTATAACTTGTATACTCTAATCTCTATTCCGACATTCATCCAAGGCATCTGGTTGCAATTGGCGCTAAATTTTATTTATCTCGCTTGCATTCTCAACAAATTTTCATATCCTCCGCTTGATAATTATTTTTGTGACATTTTCGTTTTCTAAATAATCGTTTTGTCGTTCATGTTTGTTTTCGTTTATCACAGATCAACATAAAATTGTTAGGCTTTGCATTCTGTCTCGACTTTCCACGCCTTCTATCACAATTCTGGGAAAGTCTACTGTTTGCACGTATGTATGTGAATGATTACTTAGTTTTACATAATTAATGTCAGCTCTGCAAGGCATCATCCAATAGTAAAACGCTCACATGGGAAGCTAGGGTTAGGCCCTATTCTTAGCCAGGTGTAGCCGACTGGTTAGGCACAACAAAGAAACAGCAACACCTATATATATGTATGAAGGGTTGTGTGTGTGTGGATCGAGTGATCCTGGTAGAGTTAGTAACAGGCGTCCTGCCTAGGCAGAGAGCTTCAGTAAGAGAGAGAGGATGAGCAAGTGCAGCGGGACGTACTTAAGTCTTGGGGTCGGATTAATCTAGGCCTGCACGCCCACTATCGAGTTGCAGAATGAGCGGGGACGGGACTTTTGGCCGTTGGCACTGCGACCACTCCTCCGATTCACATGCGGAGCAGCCTCAACTTCCGCCTGCTCCACCAGACGATCGTCGCTCTGGGCGCGCACTACATATCCCGGCGGAGGAGCCCGAATCTGGTCGCAGAAATTCACGGGAATCGGGGGTCTAGGCCGGCGATTACTGCGTCGCACCATAGGCGAGCCATGTGGGACGGGAAGGGGGACCTGAACGGGTGGGCCAGATCCCAGCTTGCTGGGCACTGCATAGCGCTCCACCACCTCTGGCGAGAGATCGACATAGGGCGCCTGCCCCAAGCGCTGATGGATGTGGGGTCGTGCCACCGGCGGGGGCGGAGGCGTCAGCACGTGATCGTGATCTAGCTCAGACTCGCCATCCGCATCCTCGTCATACTGCATCTCCAGGCAGCTGTGCATGGGCACCGTGGGCAGGGGAATATGCGTGGGTCGGCGGGCATTGGTGTTTGGCCCAAGACGAATCGGAGAGGGCAGACCATTTTGGTCGTAGGGATAGGCGTTGTTGTTGGGACTAGAGCGAGAGTTGGAATGGAAGACGAGGTGGGGCTGGGCGTTGTTATTATCGCCCAGGAAGAGGCTGTTCGGAGTGGGACTTTGAAACGGGACGTAGGTTACGCCATGTTCGCCCGGAGCAAACTGCTGCAGGGAAAAGTTGTCCTCGTCCTCCTCGAGGTTCCGGGATAGGCGCTCGAGCGGACGGACGGGCGAGGACAGGCCCATGCCAGGATTCGGATCAACTCCTCCCGATACAGGGACGCCAGACTTGGGCGGCTTGGGCTTATGGTGGATGCGGGCGAAGTGGGAGCTGCCCTGAATGGAGTCGGGGCTCTGGAAGATGCTGTAGTTGCTGTTGCTTAGCGAGTTGCCGGCCAGGAAGGGATTGGAGTTTTGCAGCGAGGCGTACGATAGCGAGGGCGTGGTCTGGGGCGACATGGGACTGGGGCTAACAGGGCCCTTGGAATGGGCGTGCCGGAGCCGGCGCAGGCTGCTGCAGTTGCTCCCCTCGCCGCCTGTGCGCTGGGTTAGATGGTTGGTCGAAGGGTGACTGTGGGGTTGGAATGATGCGCTGTGGTTATTTGTCGTGTTTGTCGGCAGCAGCGAAGGCGAGCGCTGGTGGAGATTATTGTTGAGTGTATTATTGTTGCTGCCGCTCAACGGGTTGTTCTTGTTGAAGTGGTGTAGTTTGGGTTGCTGTTGTTGCTGATGATGAAAGAGTTTCAGTGAGTTCTGCTGCGGCTGCTGCTGCTGCAGTTGCAGATGCTTGTTTGATTGCATGGTGGCGCTTGCGGATGTTGTGGGTATACTTGTATAGCTCACGTACATTGGGTGCACCACGGTGTGCTGTGGACTCTTCGCGTCGCCGTTCATGAAATCGACTGCAAACCAGAAATTGATTAAGATGCTTTAACAGTAACCAGAAGAATACATCAGATATCGCAGGACACTGTGCAGCAGCCACAAGTTTTTAGTTTTATATAAGAGGTCAAGTCAAACCACTGTCAATAGCTCTTGCAAGAAATATACTATATCTTGGTTCTTATTTGTATAAATTATAAATATGTATCTAGTTTGTTTGCTAGCTATTAGTCACATTAACTTGCGATTTGTTAAAATTTCACGAATTTTCCAATTGCTAATTACATTAAAATTCCATGTTTTTTGAGCACTTATCTCAATGACGTCCTACTTTGTTTGTGCTGCACAGTGTCGTTGTCGATAAGCAAATACAATGTTGTGGTTTTCTTGAATATGAGTGTATGACTTAGATATAACATGGATTACAATACGAATATATGGCATGTTTGTATGTTTTTGTAGGCACTAGTTTAAAGGCGAGTTGCTCACAGTTCACATGGACACATTACAATGGTTGTTAATATTGGATAAAATATATGTTTAAATCGAAACAGTCATTTTATGAGGGGACAATCGCATTCTAGGGTGCGGGTTTTGGGTGGGGAGGCTAGAGCTTACATATCGACAACCTGATATATTCGACAACAACAATAAACATGGGCGGACTTCATGATGCCATTTCGTAGCTCGGTAATCATTCGTTACACACAAGGGAGGTAAGGTGAGGAGGGAAACACTTTACCATAGACACAGTGCACAGTGATACCCCAAAATTAAAGATTATGAAAGGGATGAGAAGGGGTTAGCGATGACCATACCCGGTTAGTGGGAAATGTGATAAACGAGCTTGGTTCGATTCAAATAGCGCCACTTACATCTGTCGTCCTCATCAAGAAATATGCAACTGATCAGAATCGCACCGAGTATGCCGAGCAGCTGTGAAAGTGGGGGAGACAATTAACACGATTCAGGTCACCTAAGTCAGTCGGGAACTCACCGCCAGGGCGCACTGCACCCCCGAGTGGGCGATCTCCACCAGCGGGTAGTCCAGCAGACAGCCCTCCACGTGCTCCGGTCTCGGGGGTAGGAGAAGATCATCCGCGGTCATGCTGTAAGTGGGCTTGCAGCCGTATCCGTTCGCCTCGAACCAGGAGACACCTCCAGTGCCCAGGCTGAGCAACTGACTGTTCTGTGGGGCGAGATTCGCTTAAGCCTTGATATATTTAGAAACAGCCATTAACTTACCCTGTCCAGCTGCCCCACATTCAAGTAGAAGCAAATGAGGAAGGCGTTCCAGCCGATCCACAGGAAGTTCCATATTAGATACTGCAAGCGGGCACACAAAATAAATTGGACTTATCGCAGAGATATGATAATCAGGGCACTTACGGTGATGATGTATTTAACGCGAAAGTGGTAGGCGCCGTAGAACCCGAATATGATGAACAGAATGTCGAAAAAGTTCACCAGGATGGGCGCCCACATGTATCCGAGGAAATCGAATACCTGGCGCTCGATAATGGTAATCTGCGGATCGATGGGGAGTCGTTATCGGGATCGTAAATCAGTCTGAATCGCGGAGTTCTCACCACTTGCAGGAAGCATATTGACAGCAAAAAGTGTCGCCGCGTACACGAGCACGAGCCCATCACATCGTCATTCTATTCAGAATTTGAATAACAAATATTTCCGCTCTCCCCGTCGCTATCTGTCTTTCCAGCTAGCTCTGTATTCCAGTCTAACGTCGCCTTATCGGGACTGGAACTGTTGGCTATCGGCGGCAGTAGCTGAAACTCCTTGTGGCATTTCCGCGTCGACTGCAGACCTGCTGCAAGTCAAGCGTGGCAAGTGCCGGTCTGGCTGTTGGCCTCTCACTCGCACCTAAATAACGCACAGGTACTGGTGTTTCCTTGGGGTTCAGGGGGTGGAAGCGGGAAAGAATGCAGCTGCACCGACGAGGAGCGAACAAAACCTGATCTGTGTGAACCGAGAACAAATAAAGAGAAATTAAACCAAATGAACCGCTCTACCGAGAGAAACTCTGCCTCAACAGTGCTGGGACGGGTACCTGGTATCTGTACCTAGGTAAATGGCAAGGTAGTTGCAAAAATAAGTACCTGGTAAAGGTAAAGGATACAAAATATTTTTCGACATGCAAATAAAGAAAAAATGTAAATAAATTATTTTGTTGGAGCTTTGTTTATAAATTGTTTTATAAATTGTTAACTTGGATAATGGTGCCAGCTAATTCCATGGAAAATCGCTTTAGAATTTAGTCATTTCACATTTCATTTTTTTGTTGTTTTTTAAGAAAAACTTTTTTCCCTAGGTACATATATTTAGGTACTCCCCAATAATGGTGCTCACACTTGCTAGCGCACGGGAATGCTCCCTACCAACACAATCAAAGCGGGGGGCTCACGTAACGTAAACCAAACCGAACTATGTATTTTCGCCCATTTCATCTGGGCGTTCACATATTGTCGATTTCAACAGCGTCTGCTTAGTGTCCAGGTCAAGTATGAGCAATTAATTAATTAGCACACAGCAGCATCTCCATTACGCCATGTCTATTTTAGTGGCCCCCATACAGATACAGATTCGATCGGTGATTGAAAGCGATCCCCGGTAATCAAGTTAAACAGTATTTTCAATGGACAACGCATGACGCGCTTTGTTTGTCACTGGAATATGACTCAAACACGGAATTTAATTTCGTTTGTTTTACGCTGGCCCACGGAAGCCCCACTCACACACGCATACAGAGGCACTGACCACCGCACATTCCCAAACACACACACAGGAGCAAGAGATATGCTTCCACTTTCCATATGTTTGAAAACTCTCCACCGCAGCGATATCTGCCCCAATCCACTTTACATAATGCGCAGCCACGGGGATTTATTATCTCGGAAATTAACGCTTTTCGGACTTACGTCAAGAATAAGTGCGCGAGCCAACAGGCAAAAACAATTGGAAACTATGTCGGACTGACCGTGTGCGGGTCTTGGAGGTATACCATGGGGCAACCGAGAAAAGTATATTCTAGTAATTTCACCCCAAAAATACCACACATTCAGATAATACCAAAATCCCACTGAGCAACATCTAACAGTACCACGAGCATACTTTGTGAATTGGGAATTTCACTCTATGAAAGTATCTTGTATCTTGCAAAGCGTATTAAAACTATTAACAGACATTTCCTACCTTTTAAAGATAGGTTTTAGATGATGGGTTTTTATTTTTTTTAATTTTCGTAAGCTATTTTTATTTAATACTCTTGTGAACTTATATTAAACATCGCTTAACTTGTTACTCCATCAAAGTATCTTATATCTTGCAGAGCGTTTTCAAATTATTAACCGACATTTCCTTCCGTATTAATTTTGTATATTCAATATTTGCGATTTCAGTAACAGGATTTTATTTTTATAAATCTTCTGAAGCTACTTTCAATTAATATTGTTTTGTACTTATATTGAACGTCGCTTAAGTTGTTACTCTATCAATATTAAAATTGTTAACACTCATTTCCTAGCCCATAAAGAATATCTATTCAATATTTGCCATTTCAGTGATAGGTTTTAAATAATCTTAAGTTGTTACTCAATCAAAGTATCTTGTACCTTGCAGAGCGTATATAAATTATTAACAGGCATTTCCTTCAATATAAAAATAATCTATTCAATATTTGCGATTTCAGCAATAGGTTTTTAATTTTATAAATCTTCGGAAGCTATTTTCAATTAATACTCTGAGCGTTCACATATTGTCGATTTATAATATTGATATGAATATTGACCTTATTTATTTCTGGATTTTCCAATTATTTTTTCGATTTTTCACTGAACCTCCAATGCCCTCCTTGAAGATATGCACATGAATTTCATAAAATTCCATTGGAAGTTTCCCACTCTCCCCGATACTTTAATCCCAGCAGCCATTTTTAAAATAGAAAGAAATGAAAGGCATTTTTTTCGGTTAGTTTAGTTTATTCTGTATGCATATTGTATAATTTGTGTTGTTACGGTTATTATACATAAATACATTTAATTATGTTCTTTATTCACAATACACGTGGGGTCATTCTGCTCCGATCGAAATTTCGCATTTCCAGTTCTCGTATTGAGTTCGGATTATTTTCGCGTGTCTGTGGACAAACACCATAAAATATATATTTCAAACTCAACATTATGCTCCACGTACATTCATATGCTACGCGCATTTTATTGTGGCTAAGTCAGCTTCGATTTCGAATTCAAATTCAATTTTCAATGCTCCAAGATGCTTTGCATTTTCGACTAGTCAATAGTAATATAATTCGTGTGATGTTTAGTTTAGCTAGTTTTTGAACTCGCAAGTTCTTCAATTCTGTTGTATTCAGTGTATTGTTTCGGCCGCAATGGTTCCTAACTTTCATCCTCCGCCCAATGTTTCATGTTTATTTACAGCAATTGAGAATATAATATAGTAAAATGTTCGCTACAGTTTCCTATAGTTGTCTTGGGGGCTGGGAATCGTTTCCGCTGATAGGTTCCTTTGCTAATATCTCACTAATCAGTAATCAGTAAATATATTTCTTCGTTTCTTTTTGTACAATAGACGCGTGTTATCTTTGAGTGTTATCAGTCGTTTTTCATTTACTTTACATGAATGTGCAGGGAAATTATTGTTAAGTTTTACTTGTAAATAATCCTCTCCTCCTCCGGTCGCGTCTCCTGCTCTTCTAAATATGTACGTTTGTATGCATATGCATACAGGTTGGTTACCAGAATTGTATTTCTAAATTGACACAGATAATTTAGGATCGATCACAAAGCGTAGTAAAAATGAGAAAAGATAGTACACCACACAGACAGGTAAGTAAAAAGGTGTCCGCCTCCGTGTATATGATACAATAATTACATGAATATATATCTATATATCAATATGTATGTGTGTGTGTATACATATATTTATAATAATATAATATGTTGGTTAGCTTTGGTTGGCTGTCCTCTCCCTCCTACTTTCTCCCCTCTCCTTTCTCTTTCCTCCAGACCTTGAAGTGTTCCAACAAATCGCACAGACCAAAACACGTTAATATACAATAACTCGACGTAATATGCCTGTTGCACATTCGTCCCGCTGCCACACAAAATGGGATTACATATCCCGGATGGTAATAGAATCAGCAGCGTTGTGCAACTGACAGCGGGTGAAAAGTGGGTGAGGGGGCTCGTGGGATCGCGGAATATTCACGGTTCAGTGGCTCAGGCGTGCTGGGAGTTATTCTTATCGCATAACGATGCGATTACGTTACATTACAGGACTTATGCATATGGGGAAGAATAGAGACAGTGGAGTGAGTGTCGTGTGTGGGTTGCTCGGTGCTCGCTCCTGGAATTAGATTCCCTGGACTATCTGTTAGGAATACATATAAATATGCTTCTACGCCTAGTCTGATCTGTTTCTGAATCTGGATGAGAGGCTGCGTCTATTGGCTGACAATGGATCAGTCAAACTTTACCAATTGCCCCAAGAGGGAAATCGTGGTCCAATCCCCTTACTTCTTGCTCTTGCGCTTCTGCTTGGGCTCCTCGCCCCCAGCTGTTGCGGAGGCTGATGCGGCTGCAGCTGCTGCAGCGGTGGCGACGGCGTTGAGGAGGTTGATGTTCGGCTTGACCGTTCCCTTCTTCTGGGTGGCCGGCTGTTGGGGAGTGGCCTGCGTGATGTTGTTGTTGGTGGGGGCTCCGGCACTAGCCGTTGCAGCGGTCTGGGATGACAGGTTGTTGGCCGGCGTGGCCGGCGTCTCGTCCAGGAAGAGCGGGTTCTTCACCTCCATCTCGCCTGTCGGCGCCAGGCCGGGGCACTCGTATACCGTGTAGTCGCCCTCCTCGTTGTCGTCGTCGCTCTCCACGTCCGACATGCCGCAGCTTCCATCAGTGGCCTGGTTTTCCATGGCGATGATCTGCTGCTTTTGGTGCTGGTAGTGGTACATCTGAGCGCTCTGTGCCAGCTTTCTGTCGCCGGATGGTGAGACATCCTTATTGGGCCCGGTTACTCCGTAGGCTGGGTACTCCACGTCGGCAGCCGCCTTGTGGCGATTGTGGAACCTGTCGAAATGAGATTGGTTACCTCCTGAAAAAGCCATTTACGCATATTCTGGTTTACTCACCAAGTCACTCCGAGCGCCAGCAACCCCACGGTCACCGCTGCACTAACTCCTGCTATCAAGGCCACAATGTACACCCCCATCTCGCTGTTCATGCCCAAGTGTTGTCGCAGCACAATCTGTTCCGGGCTGGCATCGTCACCATCCAGCAGGGTCAGATGAACCGGGGCCTTGCTCTGCTTCTGCAGCTTGTTGATCAGGGCATTGAGTTCGTGGGGCGACTGTTCTTTGCCTTGGGGAAGATTTACACCCGCAACGGCTGCAGCCGCCACGGACTGCGGATTGATTCGGTGGAAATTGGCGTTGGCGGCGTCCAGGAGCTTGGGCGGCTCAACGGGCACGGGAGCCGGTACTGGAGTGGCAATCTTGGTCTTACTTCCGGAGCTGGCCACCTCGGGCGTGGGCTCAATTGGAGCATACTCCTCGTAGTCCTCCAGAGCCCGGGAATCCAGCTCCCCTGAAGGGTCGTTCGGGTTGTCGAAAAAGCGGGCATCGTTGGGGCCCACGGCAAAGGGAATCCGCTCGCGCAGCATGCTATTGCGGCTTGGGGCATTGCCCAAAGGGGCAAGTTGCGGCAAATTATGCAGGCGGGGCAGGTACAAAGGGCTCTGGACATTCGGCACCGCCTCCAGCGTACTGCCGTAGCTGGCCTCGGCCTCCGCGTTGTCGTACTGGTCGTACTGCTGGTTGAGGTTGTTCCCGTTGGCATCGTAGTCCTCCGCCTCCCGCTGCACCTGAAGCTCTTGCTGATGCTGGCGGTACCGCTCTCGCTCCAGCAGCTCCCGCTGGCGGTCCATCTTCAGGTTGATCTCCTGCAGCTGCTGGTCGAACTGCTGCTGTAGCCGGCGACGGGCGAACTGCTCCATCATCTGGGTCAGGAAGGCGTATTCCTGCTCGGACTGCCTATCCGCCATCACGGGCTCCTGGATGGGTCGTCGTCGGAGTCCTGCAAGGATTCGGATTTGGGTTGGACCAATTGATTAGTGGGCGCGGGCGAGGAGCTTATGCTAATGTTAATGAGCCTGGCCTGCGTGTCAGCGGTCGGAAAATAGAAAGTCTGTCGAAAATAGCGCCACACGAATGGTGGTCAGCCCCCCCAAAACAGAAAGGATTCGAAATAGACAAACAAAAGTCCGTTTTATTGCCAGAGGTTAAAAATAGACCAATTACACACGCGCCCAGGTCAAAGCGAGCAATCGTAGTAGAGTGAGGGAGACCAATATACAGACGGAGGACTGAGAACTGGGGCTTGTGACGTGTTCGGAAACTTTATCACACTTTGTTGTTTTTGTTGTTAGCCCAATATTGTTGCGCTCAAATCAAGTAATTTATATAAATGTATGTGCATCAACCTGCGTAGGTCAGACACTGGAAGTATAAAGACTCTTAAAAGTATGCTATGAAAAATGCTTCGCCATTTGTCCCTTGGGAACTGGGATTTCAATAGTAAATGTTTTGCTCTTTAAATAATTATGCACATTAAATCAAATTCAGAAACAATTTTAAAAAGGCTTTTTGGGTGATTTTTGACCTGTAGAGATTTTTTTTTTAAGAGTGCCCAAAGACTTCCACCTGTATGGGTGTAAAAAAAAGCTTATGCTTATGACGCTGCAGTTGACTTGATTTTCAATTTAACCGAAGCGAAGAGCGTGGGTGTTTGGGTTTGATTCGGGAAGTCTTCGCAGGACATACTATGCATGTATCTAGAGCAGGGGATACACAAAACGAAGTGACACCCTCCCCCTCTCTTCCCTTGCTTCATTCAGAGGCTCCAAACTTAAAAATTAGGCTGGGTAATGGGTGTAGTGTGCTATTTTTAGGCTTACCTGGGTATACGGACATTTCGCAATGACCCAAAATGCTGCAGAGCACCGTTGCAGCGAGGGCGAAGCTAACTTTGATTTCCAGGCGGGCCGCCATCTTGCACTTGGCACAAATACACAAATTGCACTTGCGAAATTTCTCCGTCCCTGTCTTTGTTCGGAAATTGCGAATGGAAATGGACCTAGCACTGCACGACCACGATTGCCATATGGCCGGTTGATGGGGCTTTGGCCAAAACGACGACGTCGACGGGGTTTATTGATTTTCGACTCCCACACTCGCAGCTGCTGGTGGTTGCTCCCCGAACTTTTCGTCTTTCCCCTACCCCCACTTTCCTTTGCACTTTTCGCGTGGGCGTGCAATATTTCTCGAAAATAACGTTAGTTAATGGCACTTTGCGATTCCCTTCAATAGGCTACCCTTGAATGGGGACACTTTGCACTGATACCGGCTGGCGAGAATGTCAAATAGTGCACTTTTCTCACAGATTGTAGGCGAAAAATGGACATATGGATGTGGCGATATAATCAAATCTGACTCGACTTCTGGGCCTCCGTTGCTGCTCCTTCGACGTATACCGTTATACTGAAAAAACTGAATGAGCCTGGCGGCGGCAAAGGCCCGAGAAGAAGCAGAAGCTGTGACGCAAATGTTATGTCCGCCCCCGCGCTGTTAAATGTTGCGGGCAGCTTTTGAGGGCAGGCCCCGCAGCAACAACTACACCAGACAGGCGCCTGCGCACAGTGGGGCTGGAAAGCTCAGCACGTCCGTGGTTCTTTGAATAAACACGGGCATTCATAAAGAGCCGAGGCGAACCCGACTCTCGGCCAGCCAGCAGGTGGCTGCCACTCACAAATCCCCAATCCCACAAGGACCCACTCCCACTCTTTTTTTAGTTCGGGAACGCGCTTTATTTTTATCAATGAATTTGGTAGATGAGCTTTTCTGCCCAGAGAATGAATGCGGGATATATGGAGAGTCTCAAGTTGCGGAAAGAATCTTCAGCAGCAGTTGGTAGTTAATCATATTATTATTAGTGACTATCAGTGGATTGCGGACAATTGACATAAAAGTTATTACAGTCAATAAATTTTTGATTGTCTTGAAATACATCCTGAAAAAAATGTCATTCTCATCATTGAATTGACTAGCCATTTACGAATGGATGCAAATGAAACAAAAACCGTTTAAGAAATCTTGAGAAAGCCCTTGAAAGCTTAGCTGAAACCTCAACCAATTTAAAAGTAATGGAAGTTGGGAACCTTAAGTAATAATGTGTTGTTTATATTTTTAAATTATATTGACATAACATCTAGTTCCAACTGAATAATAATTATAAAAATCAGATTAAAATAAAAGTAATCATTTTTTAACGGTCTTACTGCGGTATATTAAAAAACGGTATTTTTAGAATACGAAGGCGAACAGTATATATTAACAGTCGATCTGCGGCCCCACTGATGAACTGGTTCACATGGAACTACACATCTGAGTCATTTTTGGTAGCGACAAAGGAAAAATTATAAACAAATACAATGGCCACCTTAAAGGGTAATTATGCAAAGTCCTATAAGGTCAGAACTAATGATTAACGTTTCTCCATTCACCCGAACCCATCTGGAACCCGTTTTGATGTCTGGAAACCATCACACAGCGTAAGTCTACGCCCACCCCCGCAGGTGAACGTCCGATAACGATTTCCCTCATTTTGCAGCCTCATCATCTGTGCATTCCTCACGTGCATGGGTCTGACCTTCCTGATCTTGGCCTGCGCCGTGCCCACACCCAAGATATTCTACCCCTTCTTCGTGCTCCTCTTCTACGCACTGTCTGTGCTGCCGGTGTTCATAGCCAAGCGGACGACACCGGGAAACGAGACCAATCCGAAGTCGGAGTTCGCCCTTTTTCTCACCGCTGGCATGGTGCTGAGCGCCTTCGCCCTGCCCATTGTCCTTGCCCACGCGACAGTGGTGAGTGACTAAATTGTATTGCTCAAAAGAAGCTATGAGACTTGTACTGTCCTCCTGTATAGATCACCTGGACGGCGAGCATCCTGACGATAATTAGCAATATCATAAACTACGGCACCATCTTTGGGTACGCCATGCGCGATGACGAGCCCTACGGCTCGATGTTCTAGAAAGGATCCCTGGTGTAATGCCCAGTAACCGGCGCAGTAGGATTAGAACCGGAATGCATATGGGTCCCGTGGTTACTGGCTTTTATCCGTAAGCACGTTTATCCGCCGTCATCAATTAATCTCATAATATCAAGTGTACCCAGATAGCAAACGCGAACGTAATAAACAGATAAACTTTAAAGTACTCCCCACACTGTCTCGAGTTCTTATGGAGTTAGCTATAGATGGCTTAACTCCAGTTACGAACTGGTGATTTTGGGTAGTTAAGTTGCTATGGATTCGGTTCATTTACTGGTTCGATATACAAACCGCTCCTCGATAGGCTGCGATTCATTCATAGGCGTACGCCGTACGGATCAGGGGACAGTTACCCATAGAAAAATATAAATAAATCATAGAATCATTAAATTAATTTGACAGAGAACAATCTGGCAGGTTCCTTAATCAATTGCTATAGAAAATCTTCTATTTCTTTTTAAATAAAGTTGTTTTTAAATATTACTCTGTTAAGAATTTCGATGCCTGAAGTACCCATCCATTGACAAATGGAAAATTAGTCTTAATTTGTGATATTAAAATGGATGAGATTGTAAAGACAGGTGTAAAGAAGGAGGAAATCACGGGAGTTCCTTCCGTGACCCTGCACGGCATCGGAAACACTCAGCAGGACGAAGCCGAAGTAGAGGCGGACATAGAGGAGGGCTTGACCGAGGAGGACCTGGAGCTGGAGTCCACTTACCAGGATGTGGACGAAGAGGACTCGGATGTGACCCTCACTCAGGCCGACATTGAGACTGGGCGCAGCTTGCCGTTAAGCGATGCTCCGATGCGCAAGTATCCTTTCAAGCTGAAGCGAAACGAATGCGGGTGAGTGTGCGCTTTAAAAGAGTCTTGGAATGTCATTGAGAACTTCCGTACTTCCAGCAATATCCTCACCGTACACCATACGGTGAAGGAAGCAGGCCAGCAGGTACGCATCCAGATTGCCGCCTGCTGTTTCAACGAGCTCAGCAACAAACTGGTGGTCATTGATAAGCGGTAAGTATCACCGGTGAGAAAGCAATTCAGCTTTAAGCAATCTTTTTTTTAATCCCCAGTGGCAATGTGTTTGTCTTTGATTTTGTGCACAAGCGCTACTGGCGCCTGGGATTCCGGATGCCCAAGGCCAAGCTGATTCGTCCATCACCCTTGCACATAAGCGAATACGTTGTGGGCAATAAGGTGGGCCACATGTTCATCATAGACGTAGACAATTCGATCCTTGGCGCTCACGGCGAGGTGGGTAATGCCCCTCTAGAAGAGTTAAGCTGGAGCAATCGTCTGCAGAATCCCCGCTCCTCCAATGCGCTGATGCGCTTTGGCGGCGAGGCTGTCCTAGTGAACCTGCAAATGCTGGAGGTATCCCATCAGCTTGATTTCGATGAGTCGCGCTACACACTAAAGTTCGCCGCCTTCCTGCCGAACTCCGACCAGTTCTTCATAGGCTTCTCCAACGACTCGCTGCACGTGTGGTCCTCGCACTCACTGGGCACTTTGCGGATGGCCCAACCGATCAAGGCTAGAAATCGCAAGCTGAGATTGCTACCACCGGGAGAATCCATTCCGGAAATAGTTCTGCGTGCCCCGGATGAAAGTGACTTGGAGGACGACCTTACGTTCGACTGCCAGGAGTACGACTTTGCAGATGGATTGCTGCTCGGCTACTGTTTTACTCCCGATGGCAACAAGATGTGTCTGAGCACCTTGGATGGTTACGTCTTGATTTTGAGTGTGGCTTCTTTCGATCTGGAGAAGCTCTATCGCCTGAACGACTTCACTCTACGACAAATGGCCTTCCTAGCGCAGCCCAAGGAGCGGATTGTGTTTGGGATTACGGCCCGGAATCAACACAGACCACAAGCTGATTGTACAGCGCTCCAACGCGATTAGTTTGAGCCTGAGTCGAGATGGCAAGCTGCTAAGTGTCACCTCTCGCTGTGGGGAGGTGAATGTGTGGTCTACCTGTCGCCTGTTCAACGCCCTGCAAGCTCAGACTCGCTGCCTCAACCAGATGAAGTCCATATTCAAGCAGCCGAAACCCCTGCCGCCCTGTAATGTCAGTGGAGGCGTAAACCAGGAACTGCGACATCTGCTTAAACCAGAGCGCTTGAAAGCCATGCTCAAGGAGTACGGCTGCTACCCGGAGAAGTATAGGTTCCTTATTTGGACATCCCTTTTGGACCTGCCATGCAATGGGCCACAGTTCCAGGCGCTGATCAAACTGGGACCTCCTGTCATCGTCAGAAATAAGGCGAAGAAGCTGAAGATCCGCAACGATGCGCAGCGGCGTGTCGTGATCAAGATCTGGAGCTGCCTCGCCCAATGGTGCAAGGTCCTAGCCCATGCGGACTTTATGCCACACCTCATTTATCCGTTCGTAAAACAGCTGCCCAAGAACGGTCTGGTTTCCTTCGAGGTGATCGCCAGTCTGGTCCTGAACCATTTTCAGCTGTGGTTCGAGTTTCATCCGTTGCCGCCGTCGAACTACCTGGCCATGTGCGAGAATATCCTGCAGCACTACGACGAACAGCTCTGCAAGTTTTACAAATCCCAAGAGATCCTGTCAAAGGACTACGCATGGCCTCTACTGAACACTGCCTTCTCCGAGGTCCTGGAAGAGCAGCAGTGGCTGTCGCTCTGGGACAACATCGTTTCGGAACAGCCCTGGTTCCTTGTCTTTCTGGTGGTGGCCTACAATTTGATCCACCGGGAGGTCATTATACGGCTGCCGGACAAGCGATCCGTACTCTCGTTTTTTCACGAGCAGAACCCAGTGGACATCAGCAAACTCCTTTCCAAGGCGCGCAGATTGATGGCCAAATGTGAGCTCGCGTTGCACCCACAGCGATTCATGCAACGCTTCAGTCCCATCCCAAAGAGCGTTTATCCGAAGTTCCTCAAGTATCCCAGCGAGTGGATCGAGCAGCAGGAGGAGCAAACAGTCTCGCTGATAAAGCACAACCAGGAGATCGATGCCCGCATTCGCCATCTGGAGTTGGAGGAGGTGCAGATCATGGAGCGCCTCGAGAACGGGATCAAGCAGGAAGAGCACGCGCGTCGACTAAAGGAGATGGAGAAACTATACCAGGACACCATCCACCGCGAGGAGGAGCGCATCTCCTGCCAGCGCAAGATGCTGCTCACCTACCAAATGGAGGTTCGCAAGCGCAAGAGCGAAGTCATCACCAAGTTGCAGGAGTCCGAGCAGCGGCGCAAGGTGTTAGAGATGGAGAAGGACATTGACTTGCTGATGCACAGCATCGAGCGCGAGCGTCGGCGCCACAACCAACAAATGCAGCTGGCCGAGGATGAGATACGTAACCAGGAGATGGAGCTCCTCGCCCAGCGTTACTACTCGGATTCAGCGGGAGCTCCTCTGGCCCAGAAGTACTACGACAACATTCAGAGCTTATGCAGTCAGCGGGATCAACTGCAGAAGAACTTGCGTGATGTTCGTGATTAAGGGGAGTATATGTGGATTTGTAATTTTCATGGATACTTTTCTTTTCCCCAGATGACCATGGAGCAGCTGCGCACTCCCGCGACCTCATCCGTGCAATATAATCCTCAGCTGGTGGACATCGAGAACTCCATTCTGGAAATCCAGCGGGAATTTACGGAAATCATAACCACAGAAACGACTGTTAGGGGATGCAGGAGCAATATCTCTTAAGAATTAGCTAAACTGTTTAAGGCCTTTTTGTACAATTAAATATTTAAGATAGGATTATTTACATGGCACCAGAAAATAAATGGATAAACAGGGCACACAAGTCAGTTTTTAGCCACGCTCGCGTTGCTGGCATAGGGAGGCACTATCATGTTAGGCACATTGATAAACAAGTGTATGCTGGATGGTGGAACCTGCAGCTGGTTGGCCACAACTGGAAGATAGTTAATAGTTAATTAAATAGATTCAGCTGAGGATGTGCCGAACTTACCACCAGCTAAACCGTTGTGACTTTTCTGCTGCTGGAGCTCCTTTTCCAGTCGGGCGATCCTCTCGTGCAGCTCCAGGTTCTCCTGCTGCAGCCGGGCATTTTGTTTGCGCAGATCTTTGTGCTCGTTTCGCATTTTGTTGCGGTAGCGACAGGCTGCTGCTCTCCGTCGCTCCATGCAGTCCTCATCCCGACCTCGTTCCTTTGGTTTCGCTGCCTTCGGCGGCGTCGAGAAGTTTCGTCTGCTGTTATTGCTGTGCAGGATAGCCTTCAGTCGCTCTTTGATGGGCAGTTGTGATGTGGGCGTCAGGCTGGCGCTACTGGGCTCGGGGGGAGGTGGGTTGCAGGTGACCAGAATGGGCTCCGGCCTTCGACTGGCCCTATCTGATCCTTGACCACTAGGCTTGGGCAGTATGTAGGGACGAATGGCACACTGGGGTTTTCCCCTGGGGGAATCTGCTGAGACCACGGGAACGGAAGCGGACTGGGCAGGCAGCACCCAAGTGATGACCTGGGGCTGGATCAACTGCAGGGGTGGTGGGCCCTCCTCACAGATTCCTGGCGGAGTGTTGCCAGTGGTGGCCAGAAGCTGCTCCACGTCTACGTTGCTGCAGCTGTCGCTCCTGGTCACCGGGTTACCGGGCGGAGCGGATGTCACCGTCGTCTCCAGCGGGTACACCTGGGGTGTGTGCAGGGACTCGCCGTCGAGGGGAGGCGCCTCTGGGCGACTGGGAGTGCCGCTGACATTTTGCTCCGCCGCCCGCTGGAAGCCTATGTCAAAGGGGTTCACGTGCTGCAGGTCCTCGAAGAGGCCCACTTCGTCGCAGTTCTTGATCAGGCGCGTGGGTGTGGGCGTCTGGTCGGCGGCAAACAGGTTATCCGACTTCTGGCCGAGCGAAAGGTCCAGGGAGATGTCGTGCTTGGCTTGTTGGCGGAAGTTCTGGTAGCAGGAAACGTCCCCCTCGGTGGCTTTTGGCTCGAAGTCGGCGAACGACACGCTGGCCAGGTCATCCATGCCTGCGGCGGTGTCCATGGCCAGGAGTTACATCAAAAACATTGTTATTTACAAAACAAAACCTTTTCCAAAACACTTTTAGTGATGTGGACAAGTCGATAGCTGGTGAATCGATAGCACCAATATCAAGCTCCTGAGAAGCAGCCCTGTGCAAAAGCCCGCGGAGTTTTTAAATTTGAATTCAATTCGAGCCGAACGATCGGACTTGGAAGTACCCTTTGTGGCGTAAATCTGCTTAAAATCTCTCGTTCTGAGCCATAATTGCCATAATTGTTGTTATGCAACCACTCTCTAAGGCAGCCACTCTTGACATTCGGCATTTCCGCCACGAAATTGCGTCGCCATCGCATCCCAAAATGCTGGCCAGTGTTTCGCAGCACGTAGAAGCAATCATATGTGAAGAGGGAGGAAAGCGAAAAAACAACGAAAACATTTTTGGCAGCCAAGAAAACCCCATAATTTAAAATTGGTATCTTTTAAATTAGATTTCTCATTGAATGAAGCATCAGAAAACAGACAACACGCAAAATGTTTTCGACTCCGCTCGCATTTTGGGAAACATGCACGCAACGAAACGAGCAATTTTCTAAAACTCAGCCCCACAAAAAGCCGCAAACTCGTCTTGTGGGTCAAGTTCAGTGCTCAAATCGTTCCCAAGCGACAAGATGGAGGACCCGGACTCCCTCCTCGCCCATCCTCTGTTCCCGCGGAGGAAGGGCCACAAGATGCACAGCATGAAAATTAAGAAAAAGTGATGCGTAATTACAGTCATTCTCCTTCACTGCAGCCAAGCGGGCTATTCCCGATCTCGATCCCATCCCATCCCAGCCACGTTGCATGCAACAGACGCCCGTTTTTCGGACAGCGTGGTCCATGGAGTTGGGTTCCAGCCAGGTTCTGGGTACTCCGCTCTGGGTTCTCGGCTCTGGGACTGCGCTGCTGCCGGTAGAAACAATCAGTTTGAAGTTCGTTCGCATAATTATGGGCAATTTTCAAAGAACATGCGTTCCGATGAACATCTCTCTCTTGCTCGCATTCAAAGTATCATCCCCACCCCTCGGCTCCTTTTCCCCACCGCCCCCTCCTTTCCAGCACGGCACTGCAGCATCGCCTTTTTTATTGTCCGTCGGTCTTTTGCGGTTAGGATCGAGTGGTTCACCCCGAAAAGTTACCTAAGTTTTACATTCTCCAAAAGCTTTAATACAGAATCTTATCTTAACTGTACTTAAGTTATTCATAAACATATTTATTTTCAACACCCCATATTAAGTTTTACTATGTAAAACTTACTCCAGAATATTTTCCCAACAAAATGAAACCATCGGTTGGTTACTACTGTTACTAAACTATGAAAGTTATTTTTTCGAAGTAAGATTTGCAAGAATTATATTTTGTTTGCAATGTTGGGATACGTTTTACACAAGTACAAATATAAGTCGCTACCTTTATTATTATTTTTTTTATTGTGAAATAATAACGAAATGGTAACAAAAATATGTGTTTATTATTATTACTTTGTATATACCTGAAAAAATGACTTAGGTATAATCAAGTAGTTTTTGTTTTGTTTTATTTTTGAGTTAGCTTATATTAAAATCAATAAAGCTTATTCCATCTCATATGTTAGCGTATTTGTATGTTTCGTTTTAAATATAAATACGTGCCAGTAGAAGTTAGCGTTAAGACATTCAATTAAAATTTTGTTTAAAGTGAATTGAATAAAAAAAAAACAAATTTGATATACAAAATGCGCTTTTGTATCTTTTACTTAACTTAGATACTTGGAAAATGATATACATTTCTATTTAACTTCGATAGAAAATACTACAGCTCGTATTCTATTTATATGTTATATTATTTTCGTTCGTGTTTATTGTATTCCAGATTTTCGCTGATCGGAGCATAAACTTCTTAAAACGAAGAAAGTGCTTAATGGAATGCGGAAGGGAAGGCTCTATGATCTAACCGAATCTAGCTAAGTTATTAAGTGCTGACGAATTTAGTGCAATTGATAACCACTTGTGCTTCTCAAATTCTCCAGCTTACTGTGCAGGTATTTGCCCCAGGACATCTGAGGACGAGTCAAGGACCGCAGTCCCTCAAAACGGCATGTGCAGGACGCAGGATCCTGTTGGTCGTCGCGTCAGAGGATCTTCTTTTATTAATATGCAAAAAATGAGAGGTCCGTCGCCGGAGTTCCTAGAACGCCCAACATTTGTTTTCTCCTGCTGAAACTGAACTTTTCCCGCTGCATTTTGGACACTTTGTTTGCTTGCCATTTTCCCAGCGGCAGTTTGCATATAATTTGTTAAAAGTTTGGTTGCCTCTTTTTTGGCTTCTTCGAGGGACGACCAAGCGGTTTTATTTATTTTCCGCCGGTATCTCAATATCTTTATTGAGTTTAAAAGTGGAAAGGTGGACACTGAACGGTATCGTAGGTTATAAAACTTGTGGCCGTTTCGGGCAGTTTGTGTATATTTTTTTGTGCAACTTCCACGGCCCGAGGCCCCGTATAAAACTTCCTGTGCCGCCGTGGACCGAAATGATTTCTGCTTTTCCGACGGCACACACAGAATCGCCTCCGAGATACAGATACATTTCGCTGCCGCCGCTGCTTGGCGCTCCAATAATAATTTCATAATTATGGGTTATCCGGCAAGTGGCATTCGTAAATAATAAAAACTAAGAGGGAAAAAACTACGATTCGCGGCAAAATATAAAACCAAAAAGCTGGGCACTGGGGACTGGAGATTCGGAGTTTGCTTCGGCTGCAGCGTGGCCGAGATTGATTGTCGCTAATGGGCGTGAGGTTCCAGCGAAAAACCCTCTTCGCCGAGGTTTCTGGGCTGTCTGGGTTGCCCGGACCAGAGTCCCTGTAATTGTTTTAATTGCCGTCTTGCGGGTCGCGCCGGAGCTGCGAAAGTAGACCAGGCGGCATTAGAAAGATCGGCGGCTGTATCTTGAACCGGGCCAATTAAATGTGACCTTGCATAGGCAGGCCCTCAGCCAACTCAGCCCCCCTCGATTATCTAACGGTGGAGCCTTTTAGCTCGTGCTGCGAACGCGCCATTCTCCTGGCCATCATCTCGAGCCACCAGGATGGGGATCTGGGGTGGGGGGCCTTGTCGGCGCTGCTCTCATCACGCCGTGATTCGCCCGATGATGGATTGCGTTCACTTTTGATGGATCTGCCACTTTCAGCTCGAAACTTAATGCTCACGTCCGAGAGGCGCTGCCTAATTGCCCAGGCCGTCCCGAGATCGCGGTATCCCGATCCCCCAAACACCCCGCGATCATTTCCATTTCCGTTAAGGCCGCTGGCCAAAAGTCTTGGCCCAACTTTCGCTTTTGCCGCGGTCCCCTCAGATTTTTCCTTGCAGTTTGGCTGCCGACGGCCTCTAACATCCTGTCCAGTCTTTGTCCAGGAGGCGCATCCTTCGACTGGGCAGCATAATTGGCGTCTGGAGGCGGGACCACGGGACCGAGGGTCCAGGGCTTGTGTCCAACATGTGCCGGGCACATTCTATTCGAAAGAAAGCTTAGAAGTGGAAGGCGTGTTTGGCTTAAAAAGCCGCAAAGGAACGAACCCTTTGAGAAGGGACCACAATGCGCTGTGGGGCATTCAGAACTCTTTGGAGACCTCGACTAACGGTATCCCTTCTTAGACATTTGTTTAATTGCATGTTTCAGGACAACTTCGGAGGAATTTAAACCAGCCACGCAACATGTGAATCATAGTGGCTGGCCAATAAAAGCTAACCAACTCTATCGCTCCATTAGGGAAAAGGTGTAAATGTCTGTTAAATGCCCAAAACAATTTTCACCCTCATTCACTAATTGAAGCCCACTATCATAATGACTCCAAGCTGAGGCAGATCCATTAACTTAACATTCATCAATGAATTTCAAACTCTTTTTATAGCCGGTACTATTAGTTAAACTTTAAACTTTACATGGCCTTTGTAGGTGCTTTAATAGATATTTCTTGTTTTAATAGTATAATGAAGAATCCGAATGGGTAAAGTGTAAATATTTTAGAAAACCAGAAGCTATTTTGTTTGTTAAACAAGAAATACAAAAGTTCAATGGAAGATATGGAAAATAATCTGTCAATGCAGGGTTTTTTTTTTTTTTTACAACAAGTATTATTACTTTTTTTTAAAATTCATTTTTGATAAAATACGTTTTAGAGAGGTTCAGCTAGCCCCGGTTTTTGTTATGCTGGGGTTTTGACACCCTTTTTTATGCTTTGCTGTAACTGAAAGAGGTGGCCTGTAGCTTTTAAACAGCTCCATCACATTCACCCCATTCACTGTTTTCCCCAAGCGGATTTTACGCACTCGAAAACCACGAAATCCACAGACCCAATCCACGACCCGCGGCCATTTTCGCGTTCTCGACTCTCCGTCGGGCTTTGTCTTTTAAAGCCATTGACAAATGATTGGCAACGAGCAGGGAAGTGCGGAATGGAACGGCGGCAAAAACTCATCAATTAAAAGTGCTAATGGCTATCATAATGATATGTTAATATCACTCGCAGCTATGGCCATTCTGCTTTTGTTTTTGCGCTCTGGCTAACTGCGTTTTAGTTCAGTTAGCCCGGCCGAAAGAAAAGAACCGCAGAAAAAGGTAACACACAGCGGAACTCTAAGCCAGAAAGAATGTTGTTGCATGATTAATTATGCCTTGGCGACTTTTTGGCGGTCTCTCAACGGACGCAGTCAAAACATATTTCCCAGCTTGCTTCATTAGCGCATTTCTTCCTTGGTGGCAAAAAGCAGAGGGTCTAGAATGGCCCGCCGCTCTTGATATATGTCAAATTAATTAAGTTTTCTGGCACAACCGTTCCGAGGGGTCAACGGAGCAGGTGAGCGCGACTCGGCCAAGTTCGGGGCATCTGCCAGATAGCCACAAAGCTACAGATACTTCCCAAGCTCCATCGGGCTTGGCCCTGATTTATAAGTTCAATCAAACTCATGAATATGCACATCAAGAGCAGGCAGAGCCCGCGGCCCTAGGATAGCTGATTTATGGCCTGGATTGGGATTGGGATCGGGATCGGGCAAAGGGCCAGATCCAGAAACACTGA